AACATAGAGATGATGAGGAATTCAGAAGAAAGGAATTTGAGAGAAGACAAAGAGTGGATGCACCTGCACCATTGCAAACGATTTCGAGTCACGTCATTCAAAGTCTCTGACCATCAGTTACTATATTATCGTGTATCCCAACTAGAAACTCCGCCATTAGAACCTTCGGGGCTACTGCAGGTCCCAAGCCCGGGTAAAGGAGAAAGGTTGGACATGGGGTTGGCGACCACATTCCGTCGGAATCTAACTTGCCAAAAACACGGTAACCAGAAAAAAATAATACAAACCATTTTAACTCTACCCTGGGAGTCGGAAGAAGAATTATGACGTCGCGTGATGAAAGCCGAGGTCCCTCGGAAGTCACAGGGACGATGCCTCTTCTGACAACCAGAGAAACCATTTTTTTAGGTACATGGAACGTTCGTACATTATGGGAGACTGGAAGACTATTTCAAGTTGCGGCACAAATGAAAAGATACAACATCGAGGTGCTCGGCATCAGCGAAACGCATTGGACACAGGTAGGACAACTGAGACTAGCTTCTGGAGAACTGCTGTTATACTCTGGTCAGGAAGAGGAAAATGCTTCACATACTCAAGGAGTTGCACTGATGCTGTCCAAACATGCACAAAAGGCACTAATAGGATGGGAATCTCATGGACCGGGGATCAGTAAAGCATCCTTTAAAACAAAGGAGGACATTACAGTGAACGTCATCCAATGTTATGCACCTACCAATGACTACAATGACGACGTTAAAGATCAATTCTACGGAAAGCCGCAGTCAATCGTCGAGAAATGTTCACCAAAAGATTTGACGATTCTTATGGGAGACTTGAATGCCAAGGTTGGAATGGACAACACTGGATATGCAGACATTATGAGACGACATGGACTGGGAGAAAGGAACGAAAACGGTGAGAGATGTGCCTTCAACAAACTGGTCATCGGTGGCACAATATTCCCGCACAGCCACATGGATTTCACTGGACCAGTCAATTGAATAAAATCCAGCACTCTACATGAACTTCATCGACTACGAGAAAGCATTCGATGGCGTGGATAGGAAAACACTTTGGAGGCTTCTTCGACACTACGGTGTGCCTGAGAACATAGTTAACATCATGCGGAACTCTTATGATGGATTCAACTGCAAAATCGTGCACGGAGGTCAGCTGACAGACTCTTTTGAGGTGAAGACCGGTGTCAGGCAAGGTTGCTTACTCTCACCCTTTCTCTTTCTCCTGGTCATCGACTGGATTATGAAGACGTCAACATCTGGAGGGAAGCACGGTATCAACTGGACAGTTAGGACGCAGCTGGACGATCTGGACTTCGCAGATGATCTGGCTCTTCTATCTCACACTGAACAACAAATGCAAGAGAAGACGACCAGTGTAGCAGCAGACTCTGCAGCAGTAGGTCTCAACATACATAAAGGAAAAAGCAAAATTCTCCTATGCAACACAACATGCACCAATCAAATCACTCTTGATGGAGATGCCTTGGAGGAAGTTAACACCTGTACATATCTTGGCAGCATCATCGACGAGAAAGGTGGATCCAATGCAGATGTGAGGGCGCGGATTGGCAAAGCGAGGGCTGCATTTCTACAGTTGAAAAATATCTGGAACTCCAAACAACTTTCAATCAAAACCGAAATCAGGATTTTCAATACAAATGTGAAGACAGTTCTACTGTATGGAGTGGAAACTTGGAGAACTACGAAAGGCGTCATTCAGAAGATACAAGTGTTTATTAACAGTTGTTTACGCAAAATACTTTGGATTCGTTGGCCAGACACAATCAGCAACAACGTACTGTGGGAGAAAACAAACCAGATTGCAATGGAGGAGGAAATGAGGAAGAAGCGGTGGAAATGGATAGGACATACACTACGAAAAGCACCCAACTGCGTCACTAGACAAGCCCTCACATGGAACCCTCAAGGCAAAAGGAAAAGAGGAAGGCCAAGGAACACACTACGCCGAGAAATAGAGAAAGATATGAGAGTAATGAACAAACATTGGACAGAACTGGAGAGGGAAGCCCAGGATAGAGTTTGTTGGAGAAAACTGGTGTGCGGCCTGTGCTCCATTGGGGGTAACAGGCGTAAGTAAGTAAGTTAGTAAGTAAGTAAGTAATAAGTATATTATGGTGTATCATTACAGTTTCATTTTTTTAAACCAATAGATTCGACAATGACACACTAATATCATCAGCTCACCTAAAAATTATTTTTTTCTTGAGGAAAAATATTATTTCCCTTCGACATTCTTCGGTATTTTCCACTAGCATAAATTTGATTCCTAAGTCTTCAACAAAACTATTCAATGAACTCACCGTAACTGTGTTTCCGCGTTGTTTATATTTGTGGGAAGGACAAACTGCATAAGATTTAATTTCTTATTTCATTTGTGCATAAACAGCCTGTGATTTTTGTCATTAGATTACAATTAGTAAGTTGTCCAATGGCTTCCATCTACCGAAGTTAAAATCCCTTCTTGAAACTATCAGACTATTTACTTGGTCATGAATTTTGAGATGGTGGAGAAGACTTGTAGCTCAGGTGGATGATTATGGTGGTGGTGTTTGTTCTCTGAGATCTGGTCATGAATTTACTAGGCGTCAGTCTATTGCAAGATAGAAGTGATAATACGCGGGATATTCTGTTGTAAGTCTAACGTCAGACTTGCCATTACCACTGAAACTAGATCGAACGAAAATGTCATGTTTGTAACAAAGATATGAGAAAGTACTGCCATTGAGTAAACGTACATTAGTTTCAAGCACTATACAGACTAAGGATAGGTCGGTAGGGTTTTGAGATGTCAAAACTGCATTGACAATCTACGTGAACGAATTATCAGATTCGATCAAAATAAAAAGTAATGAAATCACTTTCAAAACAGGTCCCTCAACAAGTATGAACAATATCAAAATAACTGAATATAGCCTTGGAAAACATCTGCTTCACTCTCACTGAGATTATTTGTAGATACAAATTGCTGGATCACACAATAGTGTGTGTGCGCGCAGGAGACGTGCGAAGAGGAGAATGGGAATAACAATCTTGGCGCACGAGAGATAGTCTTTAGTACAGATAAACAAGAGGTGTACAGCGTAAAAATTATTGTCAGAATTAAGTAAAATAATAAATGTTTATATTTCAGCAGTTGTGTTTTCTTTAAAGCAAACCACTACAAATCAAAGACAGAGAAGAAGAGTTGATTCACCCCAGGACATATTTTGCTGACGATTTCGTAGCACTATAGAAATACCGAAATCGTGTAAGAGGAAAAAGGGCGAAGTTACATTGAGCACTATAACAAAAATAACAGCGACACAGAAGGAAAGTTTGCGCGTACAGAGTACAAATATACAAAAGGCTTAGTAAAACAATCATTGTAACAATTGGTTATAATAATGAATGTTGCTAATAAACCAATTGCATTCTCTTCAGAAAAGTGGAGCTCTACACACCCATCGATTAGTATCTCTCTTTAGGACCTTATTTAGAAAATAGTAACTTAGTTGATATTATCATAACCTCATATCACCAGCTTATTTTTCTCCCTATTTTCACCATCTAATACCGTTGAATCTAACGTACCCATCACAAAGCTGCCCGACGTTCTCAGGATGTTTCCTGATACTGACAAAAAATCGAACGCTTCCAACTAATTGGTAATTTCGACGTAGAATCGAATGCAATGACCGATTAGTAATCCCGAAAACTACGTCCACGAATCGAACGCGTCCACAATATTACTGACAATAACTATTTCGATACGAATTACCATTGTAGGGATTATTATCATTATCATATTCTTATTGCATGACAATTATTTCATAAACATTATTTTACTTCTTTCGATACCACGAACGACGTTCATGATTAAGGTAATTTCATTCCATTTATATTGCCGTATCGCATTATTAATTCCGTTTTAACTGTCGTGCCTAAACGATATTAAATATTTTGCAGCATTTGCATTACATTTTCGTATCGTACAACTGCTGCTAATGTATTCTATTCGAAATCGATTTTGTTTTGCTAATAACCGCTAACCATATTTTTTTTCGCAAACACAGACACTTTCGTGTCCTTGTTTGCTGGAAGGGGGCTATTGTCGTGCCTCCACATAAACTTGAGTTCGCTCATATTTAATTTGATCACGCCTTTCGATTGACTTATGTAACCGCTCTATTTGCGTAGCAACAACCTATATGTACGATTGGTATTTTTTATTGTCTGGTTTCTATGAGCTTGTACGACTGAGCATTGCTTACGCCTGCGCGCTTACTCATCCTTTTCGCTTTAATGTTAATATCTTAATACCCCTATGAACTCACATGACTTGTCTCGCTTACCTTTGACCTTGTCAATCATTTGTCGCTTTTATTCATGTGCGTGCACGCCTATTTCGATTGTCATATGTCTGTCTTATTTTTGTCTGACTATATATTCTTAGTCATGTTCTATCTCTTTGAGTTGGCTCTTAGCCTTCTCCAATGTACTTCGCCCATTCGTTCGCATTGTAATCCGAGGAGTTGGCTCAAAAGCCCTCCCCAGTTCGCGTCGCTTCATTCGTTTTATTCACTGCTTCTCCGCTTCGCTTTGTGGTGTGTCTCGAATAAACGTATTCATCACTACGAATTCATCTTCTGATTTATAAACCGTCAGACGCTATTTGGCAACGATTGTCTGGACGAGTTAATTACCGAGCTTAAGAACACGCAGTAAGTCACCACATCACAAGCTGAGTTATTGAACAGTTTAGCTAACAATTCATTTAAGCTGTTGAACAGTCGATAATGCAAAGTATTTTACGACGTTTTACACTGCGACAAACCAACAGACAGTCTGAGAAGTGATAACTGCAGCTAAGAATACCCTGAATGCTCTGAGGAAAAATACACCCATATCACTAAAAAATCGAACCCATGGAAATTATTATGCAGAAAACCATTTGTATATGCGAGTATCTGTAAATGGCGATTTTTTCGAATTCGTATCAAAGAAGCTAGAATTCGCGTGAAGAAATCATTTTGCCTGCCGAAGCTCATAACTAATATATTGGATGTTGAAAGTTGAGGCGCGACAACAAAAGTGTGTGTTGCTTTAAAATAGCATGACAAATAATCTCGTTGTCCTCCATGTGACCCGTTTACCTAAATATTTTGGACCTGTTGAACTGCGGAAATATATTAGTCAGTTCGGTAAAGTGCATGAGCTCTATATGCCAAAATCAAAGAAGGTTGTTCTGTTTTTTTGTTTTCGAACATTTGATTAGACTGGTAACTGGAAAGATAATGCTTTTATCCGACTATCGGAAGAAGTTGCTCCTCTCGTGGCTTCAACGCTAAACAATTTGCTGCAATTCAATAAAATAATAAAATGTAAGTTATTAACACTTTCTGACCTAGGATATTCAGTTTGTCAGCTGGTGCTCATACAAGCGTTGTTTCTTCTGATTAATTTTGTGATTCGTAAAAATTTCATTTGTAGCACAAGTTTAAGTAATAAAAATAAAGTCAGACATATTTTGCATGACGAACCAGGCTATAGTTTTTGAAGAAATCAGTCAGATGAAAAGATGGCTTTTTGTGTGAACTTCGTGTATGCTTTTTCTAAATGGTATTCTGTCGTTATAGGTGGTATTATTCTTGTAGAGGACCTCGAATAATTCCCAATTTTGACTTCTCATCTAAACTCTAGTTCCTCGCACTAACTTTAATACTTACGTTGTATCAAAGTTTTGGGGTACATTAGTCTCTCGTCACGCTATCCGTTTTCACAATAATGCCTTTCTGGACCTTTCTAAAACCGTCTGTCTTTAGCTGCCTGGAAAATGGCATCCAGAGTTTTGCTATTACTACTCAACCACATAAACCTGATTTCCGGAATCAGCTCATTTAATGCCTAATTATTAATCAGATCTTCATGAAAATAAAGTTATATGATTCTCTTTCAAGCTTCTGCTGCTTCTAAAGCAGATAATATACTGAATTGCTGAATAAAACGTAATGTACAGTCAAGAAAGTGAGACAACGTTTTCTTCCTTTCCAAGTTTTACCCTAATACTCAGCCCCAAATATGTTGTCTGAAAATAGAATAGCGGCAAAGCATTGTATTGTAGCTGTTATCAGTTCAATCCCGACCACAGCTGCTATCTTGACGTGGTGGTCGGGCTTGCCTATCGTGATGACCCAACCGAGCTATATTGGCTGGAATTACGTATAGGAGCTTTTAATGTTCAGACCCTATACCATATAGTGCAACAGGCATTTTTAACTAGAACTCTGGAATCCAGGCCGATCGATGTATGCTGCGTCTCCTAAACGCGCATACAAGATCCGAGTAAAATCATTAATTTGATATCACCTAGTGCAGATAGAGTCAACAAGATTTACGCTTCGTGTTTTCGGAAGCCCTGATGCCACTTCTCGTGGCCTCGCCGGCGTAGGTATATTATTAAATCCTAGGGCATAACAAACTCTCTTAGACTGGATCCCGATAGACAGTCGCTTTCGCGCTATCCGACTAAACGGGACGGTACGGACTCGGAAGGAAAGGGACACTCGCCGTATCTGCCTACGCTCCCACTGACTACAGTTCAGACGATATGAAAGATAAGTTATATGGAAACCTCTCTAAACTTCTCCAAAATGTTAAGCGCTATGATATAGTAATAATGGCTGGTGACTTTAACGTTCAAGTAGGTAGACTGAGCGAAAAAGAAAGACACGGGTGGATTTTATAGTGTCGTTCCTTGTTTAGACTCAAACCATGCTCTAGCGCGAGCGCGTATTTGTTTTCGCCTTACTGGATGCAGGGAAACCTGTTAGGGCTCTACTTAATGATAATGAAGCTAAGAATATATTTCAGGAACAACCAGAAAAACAGTTAGTCGGCCATGTAGTAAGTGATGCCCACCCTGAGGCAGCTTAGAATGATATCCAAATGGCTGTGGAAACAGCAGTGATATCTGCTAGTAAGGTAAACTATAAGGTTAGGGAGGAGCCGTGGGTTTCAGTAGCATCTACGAGTCAGGCCATCTGCGCTGATGAAACTCTCGAGATTAATGAGGCGTTTATCCAGTCAACCTGAATGGCAAATCTGTTTCAGTCCTCCTAGTCTTTACGAAGTTGAGAAAGCGAGGGAGAACTGATGGATTGACCCCTGAGATTTTTAAGGATGGTGGTCCAGTTTTAACTGTTAGATTAAACGAAATCTTAGATAGAATCTGGGACCTGGCCATAATTTCATCTGACTGGCTTCGATCACTAATTGTCCCGGTTTACAAGAAAAAACAACTAACTAATATAGTTTCTAAAATATTGGCCTCAATAATACTTCGACGCTTAATGAAAGCTCGTGAAGAGCAGACTAGAGTAAATCAGGCTGGTTTTCGACCTAAACCTGGCTGTATAGACCAAATATTCATACAACGTCAGGTCTTAGAACAAAGACACATTCAGACGCCCCGTCGATCGTGAGGTTCTGTGGCAGTGTCATTAAAAGGTGTACCAAAGAAGTACATTAACCTTAAAGAAGCTCTCTACTCGAACACCACTGGTCGTGTAAGAGCTTATGGCGAACTGTCATCGGGATTCGCTACTTCAAGTAGTGTCCGCCAGGGCTGTCCATTATAGTCTAACTTTGTTGTAGACATCCTTTTACAGTTAACATTATCCTCGTCAGATTTTCAGGGGTGGACCTTCTGCCAGTAAGATTGCTTACTGACCTAGAATATGCCGATAATATAGTTCTATTCGGTGAAGACGCTGACAAAATGTAGTTTTCTGACTATCCTAAGTAACAATGCACGCATGTTCGGGACGCGGTTTTCCCCTTCGGAATGCGAAATGTTGCTTCAATCTTGGGTTGCATCGGCACCTGAACTAGTGATAGGTAGTGTAGTAGTTGAGAGTATAGACTAGACTATATCAGAGTGCATAACGTTTTGGAGGACGTCCGAAAGCTCTCTGTGAAACTCAGCTTTCACCTAATCTGATCTGCAGTCAGTGGGAGGGTTGGCAGATACGGCGTCTAAGTTAATACAGCATGGCAAAATGTTGCTTCAGGATCGAGTTGCATCGGTACCTATACTAAGCAATGAAAACTATAGTAAGAAGTCATAAATTCAGCTCTAAACTTAGGTGATAAAATATATATTCGATAGGTCAAAAAATAGACAGTCAGTCAGCCAGACCAAGAACTTCGTATGTACGTACGTACGTACATCAGTTCAAGTTGCTATTATCATATCAACACAGAGAGATGGAATTGTCGATTTTCATTGCAAACGACTTTCGTCCATGTCATTCAGTCTCCAACTAACGGTTACTATCGTCTCGCGGGCACCAGCCAGGCACCCTACACATACCAACACGGCTTGGTCCACTTCTCAGTGACTTCATAAATTTGTGCCATGTTTTCGTTTGACCGCACCTAGCTTTCTTCACTAGCATTGCTTACCCCAGGGTCCCAGGATATAAGAAAAATAATAAAAACCTACGAATATCCTCTACTCATACTGGCCATGTTTAACACACGTATAGTTGGACGGAGCGAACTGATTCTACGTAAACCAGTCCTTTGGTCAGCATTTTCGCTTAGGCTGGCCAGAAGACTCTGCATTTTGTCAGATTCTTCACCAAACAAAACTATTTCATCGGTATATTTCTAAGTCAACAAGCGAAACTCTCTGAAGAAGGTCGATTCCCGAGAAATCAGATGATGAAAGTTTTGTATCTGAAAGCATTATCGAGGCTGACAATTCGGACTCTATATTAGTCAGACAGTTGACTGTGTGATTGTTGCAAGAGGACTTTTGACCTATCATACAGACTGGGACAATCAGTGATTGAGACCAGTCAGATGGGATTATGCCCAGTTCCCAGTCGATCTAACTGCTGAACACAGACCACCGTCCTCTAAAGTTTTAGGGGTATGTCTCAGAAGTCAGTCTCACTGCTGATTCAAATTTGTACTTAAAATTGTCAGGGCTTAACTTTTGGATATCGTCAATAAATGGCTGCCTTGTCGTTGTTATCATTAGGTATAACTCTGCGAGGTTCCTTTGCTATCTTTCTTACATCCAGCTATGTTATCATTGTGTAGGACCCTAAAAGATTTTCTTGCGGTGTTTTTCCTACGTCCAACAAGCCAAATACGCGCTCGTACCTGAGCATGATCTGAATCTAAACAATTGCTCCACAATAAACGGCAATATGATCTAATACGGTTGGTTGTTGGATTAACTTTGGGGATCGCTAGGTCTAAAGGTGTTATTTACTAATGCTGTATGTAATTATTGGCTAGAAATAGGCATTTATCAAAGCGACACCGATAGATCCACCCAAGTTTCTTTTCTTTTCATTTAGTCTACTTAGTTGTGCATTGGAGTCACTCTCCACCAGTGCTATATGAGAGGTTAGAAAGGTTTCCGTGAAATTTATCATTTATCTCGCCCGAGCTGCAGTTCGTGGGAGCCTAGGCAATGTCGACGAAGAGACGACGGCGTGTATCCCTGTCTTCCTAGTTCTTACTATTCCGTTTATTCATCTGAAATTCTAGAAATATTTTAATTTACTGCACAACAAAGACAAGTTATAATACTTTGAATAAACGTTTTTCTGCACACCATTATGACATTTATTTGTTTTCACGTATAGGTGAAGTCCTAGCAGACAATAAGCGACTCTTTCGATCAAGCAAATACGTACGAGGATCAACTCGCACATTACACGAAGAAAAACAAACAATAGCAGCAATAAAGCGTGTTACAGCGCTGAACGCCCGCGAGGAAATGGATCCTACCAACAGTTCAGTCAGAAAATCTCTACCCCATGCTGTTCGGAGGCGTAAACATAACTTTCAAAAACGACTCGCAGCGATTGCGAAGACCAACTCAAATTTTACTTTTCACGAAAAAGCCGCTAAAATATAACAAAAGATTTTAAATTCAGCAATAACCGTATTGACTACGGAGTGTTGTTACTAATTATTATAAAAAGGCACTTCGAACCATTTTTATTGAACTTATAAAGAAAGTAAAAGTACGAAGAAAAATTAGGAAATTATGGTGCACAGCCAGATTTTCGCATTTGTAGATTTTTTGCTTTGAAGAGTATATATCCTAGCATGTGTAGCAAACACGATAATAGAGGGTCTTAGACCTCCATAAAGAAAAAGAATTGTCGAATTTGAAAACATATGTTCCTGCACCAGGATACAAATGAGATCCACAGCACACCTCATTTTGAGAGTTTTGTCGTGATACAGGTATAATCTCATCAACCAGAATATTGGACTGTTCCGAGTTTCCTGCTTTGGTTACTTTTGAGTGACCGTCTGAAAAATCAAAATAGCGTAATTGATTTCTGTGTTTAAATCATACTGGTTCGTAATGTTTAAACGGAATCTCAAAACTAAACAACTGAGATAGTGAAGGGTTTTTGGATAATATTCAGGTCAAATCCGTAATGAGTATCATTACCATCAAGGTTAAATCCATAACTGCATTTATGCATGTGGCAGCAAGTGGAGTAGTTTAGTGTGCTAACCATTTCACTTATCAACTGTAGATGATTGGTGTTTGGTGGAATCTCAGAACCGATTTATATAGCTTAGTTGGCTTCTGCTAACTTACGTTTTTTCTGGAGTAGGTTAGACGTCAATGGTGCTAACCAGAAGACGAGTTTACTACATTCTACTTAACGGATGAAAATTGAGTGAAAAACATTTGTAGATTACTACTAGCATTTGATTATAAATGTTTTCGTGTAAATCTGAACTGCTGAGTGAGCAACACAGGTTAGACAGTGGATACGGATGGCGAGTCGACTTATGCGGTACTGAATATTCATCGGTTGATGTGGTCGGGATATGCATCATTTCTGCTAACCACTGCCTATTACGGTTGTGTAGGAGTTAACTTAAAGAGGGTAGTCAAACTAAGATGAAATCAATCTATGGAGCCATTAGCAGTTGAACTCAGTTATTTCGATAGCTGCAGACTACTTGATTACCTTAACCAATCGTTAAGAAAATTAGGAATCGCATGGGCTATAGAATTATTTAAAATGGTGTAAATGCATTCACTCATTAACTTCCACTCAATTCTTAAATTCCTTGATCGTTTTAGAGGATATTTTTATTCCACGAACTCATATTTCCTCCTCGGCTCGTGTTTTATTTGGCCTGTTTTTTACTAACACTGACTCTTTCCGTACCTGATATGTTTTGAGAGCTTGAACGGATGCATATATTTGATATGACTGACTGGTTTTGAAATTATTTAGTGATAAATTAGACAATATTGATTCCCTTTTGGTGGTAGTTCGATTTGGACAGATGATATCTGTATGAAAGTAATTAGAACTCAGTCAACCGATAAGTTTATTAAGAATGTTCTTGTTGTTATCCACTTCAACACTTACCTTCGGCGTTGGCTGATGCAGCGTGATTGTTTTGTTTCATTTCAGGGTCGGAAAGCGGTTTTGCCCATTCAAAAAACAAGCCAAATCCAATGTCATAGTCATCTGTAGCGAATTCCCAGACTATGCTCGTGCCCGATGGATGTGTTTGAACGCGGACCTTGATTGAAGTGTTTTGTAAAAAAAAACAGGAAGATAAACTATTTTGAGGAAGACAAAAAAAATGAGTGCATCTGCTGCACTGTGAATGATTCTGAAACAACTTGACCCAGATGAAAAATGACTTTATCCTAATGCTTATTTCTGACAGATAAACTATGTATTCCCACATAGTTCTGCTGTTTGAAAACAATGTAATGATTATGACTGGGTACGATTGATTGTGCAGATTGTTTCCTCAACTTCACAATACAAACCTAGTCTGCTACCTATTAAAATGCCCTCATTGTAATTATGTTTTTAATCAGATATCCTAGTTAAAACCATATACATATGATACACGATATATGTGTCTGACGGCAAGTGCAAACTACCTACCTATGGTGTGCATGATCATTGTGACCGATAGCCTAAGACGAGTGACAGTTCAGAATTGGTCACCATGACGCATATGCATTCATTCTTCGTCTTTAAATAAATAGTTTCGAAATCATCTTATTAATCCGCGAGTTATATTGTCTATACCTAATCTTTACCTCTACCACTGATAATCACTACGTTTACTACTTTAGTGTCTTGGTAATCTCGTCCCTATGTGATGATACTGTATAACAACTTTGAAAAATACATAAATGTGGCACATTATACGTTGTAATTGAATGACTGACATACGCAATACATCTCAAAGATTTTTATATTTGCAATATTATTACAGCTTACTGAATAAACTTCACCACTATTTATTCGAATAACAGACTCTTCATCTTCACTTAAACACTGTTTAAATCCTTTGACCTCTCCACGAGTCCACAATGTAGGGGCATGTACCACCAAAGATGTGTTTGGGTAAGGATCAGTGTCAAAGCATTTCTTGTTCGAGTCAAGAGTTGACTGTTCTGATGAAGACATATAAGAAAGAATCGTTAAATTGATTGAATAAACATAACATGATAAAACCCAAAAATGAAATACAGTCGATAATATGGATAAAAAATCAGCTATATGCTATAGAGAATAATTCTTATTCGCCTCGACAAAATAAGAACACATTATAACGAATACTTTAGAACAATCAATAACCGGATCTAATGAAGAAACCGACGAAACAAAATAGCAGATGCTTTTTAAGTACACATGGCCTGCTCGCCCGAAAACGGACATAACACCTAAATCCTCACTCATCAAGCGTTATAAAACCATGATATGAACGGGATCTTTTCGAACATACGTTTTACAGAATATAAGCCCAAGGACACATGATAGCTTAGTGGTCTATGGTGGTAAAACATATTTAAAATCATTTTAGTATTATTTATGTTTCAAATCCGTTCGGCAACACATCAGATTAAATCCGAATATTTTGAAGCATTCAAACTTATCATTGCGAACAACCTCCAACCCAAGAATTCGAAAATCAGTAAGAACGCAGTGTTAAGACTAAAACCTTAGTCCCTTAACTGCATGCATATCTTTCATACGTACCTAGTTAAGATTGAATCCAATTTGGCTCGTTAGGCATCATACCAGAACATGGACAATTCTATTAAATTACATACTATTATAGCGGGTCTTGATCGGAAATAAAATTCTGTATAGACCAGAACCGATGTATCTTCTTCATCTGTGAGTTAGTATCCACTGATCCTGACGGATTGCATTGGGATTCCAAATCAAGGGTTTACGTGGGCCCCAGAATCCTGAGGGGACAAATGGTGTATGGATCTGCTACCGTGAGACCGCATCCGAGGATGTGCTGCTGCCTTGTGGATTACTCCTGTAAGCCAAAGGCTAGGGAATGAGTATTTAATAAGCTTGTTTTGGACAACTGGGAAACACCTTAGTTCACACAAAAATTTGATGATGTGTGAGGCATATATATTTTGATGTCCCTTTGTACCAATGTTTATGTGTTTGAATAAATGGATATCATCATACAAATGCTTACTTCATGCAACGATGTTTCTGGTACCTGTATTGTTTAACTATGTTTTGACGCCGCAGATATGATTTTATGACACATGGAAAGTTCCTATTGAATACTGATAATCCTTATGGTTCGTGAATATACAAGATTCCTTATTGTAAAAAGCCTACTTATTACAAGACATTTTACTAGTTAACTGAACAGCAATGTGAATATGCACAAACAAACGGTAGACATAAAAGTAGTAAAAGTCGGTGATTGAATGTCGTTCTTTCACTTGAACATGATTCGAAATCGATCTAGATGATCCAGATAAATTCATTTCACCAACTCTTTCCATTTTATTTTTTGACTTTGTTTCGTTGTATACTGTGCATACTTAGTTTTTATTCCCATATATGCTACGATAGCTTGAACTTCTTTATTTTGTATCTTTAATCAGTTACTATCTTGAAACGCCGATGTAATTCGTTTTTAAGTTCAACACGTTCATTAACAGTTCTCTAATCGTGTTTAAAGGAATGTTTATAGTATTGCCTTCGAAATGCACTTTATTCGAATAAGAATTGATTTTTGAGGCATATGCGTATCACTGCCACGTAAGCTTAATATACTTCAAGTGCTCTTAGCGCAGTACATACAACACAAACAATCGGAAAAAGAGAACAGCCAAGAAATATACACGGACTGAATTAAGATCATGCAATTTTTCAACTGATCCATAATCAGGGATTTACAGCAATGAAATTTATCCGTATACTGAAAAAGGAATGACAAACCTGAAGTATTTGTACAAGACAGGTTGTTAACAGCGACATCAGAGGATACTAAATTCTCTTTCTGAATCTCGGAGGAATTTACAGACGATTCTGACTGCATTGAACCATTAAGAACAGATTGATTATTGGCATTTTTCTCCTGAATATTAGAAAAAATACAAACATACACAAATAATCATATGAGCGCGTGTAAATTTCAGTGATAAAACTTCATAGCAATCCCAGATTTTTACGCTATATGACAACGAAAACGGCTAGAAGAACGTTCTTCTAAAAAAGCATACGAAATCTAACAATATTCGAAATCTTGATAGGCTGTTTGTTTTCTACCTTTTATTGATTAATGAGCCATATTAATTTCGACTGGTTTTTACCAACACAATGCAAAATAATTAATACATGGGATATTTACATTATATTAGAATGTGCGAGTGATCTTCCTTCAGATTTTATAGATCTATACCACATAATGTTTTCTTATTAGGCGGTCTGCGCGTCAGAGACATAAATGAATTGAAAAACGGCTGGATTGAGATTCAAAAGCAATAAACCTATCAGTAATTTACCTTAAATATAACTAAAAACAATTGCGCTGGAATTGCATAAGGTCGGATAGAGAAAAAGTGTTAAGAAACACATAAAATATCAAGTGATTAAGTACAAATACCACTACCGTTATGCTAAACAAACTCCCGACAAAATAACATACAAAGCCTATTACACAACTTCGTATTATCCTTATTGATTAGCCAACCTACAATCCGATTAGTTGAGAATGCTGGCAAATTTAATTGTAGCTCCAATGAAAAATGATACAGTGTGAAATATGTGTATATTCTGAAAAGAATTTGGGATGTCCTAAAGAAAAAAGAATTCAGAGCATGAGTTCCACCGCACGAGATCCAGCCTATATGCATGGCTTCAAAACAGAGGTTCTAAAACCCTATGACTGAGTCCTGATATATTTTCAAAATACTTCAGCCAAGACTGATATAAAGTATGTCAGTGTCCAATCTATAAACGAATTAAATTGAAAATTTTCGTTCAGTGGATTCCAGAGGCCTCTAGTGAACTAGCAGATGCTATGAAACTCAATATATCAGTATGATGATAGCGATAGGTAGGTTTTTAGAATTAGAAACAGGCATTAAGAAATCTGGTAAAAGTGAGACTATCCGTAAAAAAAGTGAACATTTCCCAATCTCAGCCAAGGTGGATGAGACAGTCTAACCAATCTTAAGCTGCTCTCCAGTTTCCTACTGTTACAAAGAAACTTACATAGGATATTAACAAAATACGCTCGATTCCTAATGAAGTTAGAAAGGCCACTGCTAATTTAAAAGGAAAAGGAGCAGCTGGTCCTGATAAAATAATCTGAAATCTACAAAAATTGTATTCCAGTCTTAACCGTTAGATTGAAATCTTAGCTAGGGTCATAGACACCAAGTCATTGCTACTTATGTGAATTATTTGCATAGGGCTGAATGCGGTTTTTACAATCGGTAGAGTTTTGAATCTGAATTAACTAAGGTGTCAATGTCCACGTAATTCTCATTACGACTATTAATGGCAACTTGAAAAGTTACATACGAATTGTGAAAACAAAGTTCAGATTACTGAATGTCAATTTAAGCGACTGTCGAGGACTGTCTCGATAATTAGAACGTGGGACTTTTTGCCGGACTTAAACAGAGCCCAAACACATGAGCCCTGAGTAACCTCAGTGTTTCTAGCTACTATATAAAAAGTGTGGCTCAACAGCTAGTATACCAACCTGCTCATAATTACTGGGTTGCACTAAAATGATTTTCAACTTAACTGTGAGCGTTCATGAAATTCCGTAAATACAGAAGTTAGTAGCTAAAGTTGATAGTAATATTGGTACCAGCAGAGACACATGTACGACTTAATTGTAAAAATAACAAATTGTTTTCGAAATACTGAAATTCCTTAGTTTGTCGTTTATATTACTATTATAGATCTATTTGTTCCGTCATATCTAAGTGCTTTCTGAATTTCTAACCACCTAGCGCGATATTAGCTAATAGCTTGACGTGGTGATCGGTCGGTCAGTTACAACACAGAACTTCGTACGTACGTACATCAGTTCAAGTTGCCATACCACATTAGCACAGAGATATAATTGTCAATTCAAATCACATAGTAGTAGAGGTGGTAAAAGTATTAGCAGTAGTCGGAGAGATCAGGATTAGAAGACATTATTCAAGAAGTAGAATCTACTGAAATAGAATAAAAAGATAAAGGTGATGAGCGATTCAGAAGTTTAGGATTTGAGAGAACACAAAGAAAGAATGAACCTGCGCCAGTGCAAACGGTTTCGAGCCGTGTTATTTAACAACAACAGCACTCTGTATCCGAGCTGAGATTTCGTCAGTCACCAGGCAATCAGCACTGATGACACTCCCGAGATAAGTGAAGCGCTCAACTGCTTCACTCCCTATCGCTAGCCCGGGTACCGATACAAACTAATCCTGAGACAACATTTTGCATTTCGAGGGAGAGAACAGCATCCCGAACAGGTTTGCATTGTTGTTTAGGGTAGTCATGAGACACTGCTCTTCATCGTCTGCTCTTCAGAAGCTATAGTTAGGCGTCAAAGTATTATCGAAACTAACAATTTAAACACTATATTGGTCGAACTGATTCATCTGTGATTTTCACAAGAGGACTTTTTTCCTATCATACAGACTGGGACAATTAGTGATTGAGACCAGTCAGATGGGATTATGCCCAGTTCCCAGTTTCTACCTAAGATCTCAGTCAATCTAACTGCTTAATCCAGACCACCACCCTCCAAAATTTCAGGGGTAAGCCTGTTAGGCTCTGCCACTCTCCCTTGCTTCAGATTTCCTATAGCATTTTCAACTTCATTTACACTCGAAGGACTTACATCAACTAGCCATTCGGGTTGATTGGAAACTGTGGGTAACGTAAGTATGGCTGAAGGCCAATGCTCTGCCCATTGGTCCAATCTCCTGGATTGAGAATAAATGATACGACTATCCTTTACCGAGATAGTCTCACTTACGGTCGTATTCCTAATATCGGTTCCCTTGATGAGTCGGAGCATTTGTCTACAGTTACCTATCACCGCCGTCTTTTCCATCTCTCTCATCTTCGCTACTCACCACTGTTCATAATCAATCAATCAATCAATAGCAACGTAGAACTTCGTACGTATGTACATCAGTTCATGTTGCCATACCACGATAGCACAGAGATATAATTGTAAGTTCAAATCCAATAGTAGTAGACGTAGTAAAGGTATTAGCAGTAGTCGGAGAGGTTAGGTTTAGAAGATATTATTCAAGAAGTAGAAACTAGTGAAACAGACTTAAAAAGATAAAGATAAAGTGATGAAGAATTAAAAAGTTTAGGATTTGAGAGAACACAAAGAATGAATACACCTGCGCCATTGCAAACGGTTCGCAATCATTGCTTAGGCTTTTAATCAGCCTGCACTTAAGCTGACTTTGCTCTTCATCGTGTTCGGAGCCAGACGGGACGATTTTCCGAGCATCTATCAGTTCGGTAGATGCAACTGAAATCCACTGTTTCTCCCTAACTTACTGGCGAATACTACTGCCGTTTCAACAGCTTCCTGAATATCATTCCATTTCCGTGTAACTTGGTTAGAATATCCAAATGAATAACTAGAATCATATGATGTCATATACTGTCAAGGAATGATAGATGAAGATCAGTGAACTTAATGCATTGGAAAACAAAAGGATTCCCGACGAAGACACTCGACAAGATTTAGCATGTTAGTGGTTTTAGAAGGATTCATCAACTAAGTATATGAAGTATGACAATTTATCAGTTGATGTGCAACTAATAACAATGTTCGTTACGGGCTGTGAAATTCGAATTCGCATTGATTTCTAATATGATTTAAATGAGTGATTTCGAGTTATAAACTGTTTCAGAAATTATTTAGTGATCCTGAATTATTGTTAACCATCTCAACACTGAGAAAAAAGAAAATATGCTGTTCTCTTGAAGACACTCTAAGAACATTGACAAAATGGTAACGGTGACGAAATTGGAAGAATTCTCTGTAAATGAAGGCTCAGTTTCAGGGTCACACTTGGCTTTCTCAAACTCAATTCGGTTTATTGAAAACGTGATATACAGGAAAAGGGATTTAAATCCATTCACTTATGGTCAGAGATCAGCAAAGAAATAAAGGCAGCGACTTCACATGACGAATGTTGAACTGTTTGATGATATATATATATAGTAGTGTATCCGTTGTTGGTTTAAAAACTGTCCTCAGGCTGGTTTCGTGAAACATTCTACTATATTGCCATCAAAGCGTACAACTACATGTTTGATTTGACAGTAATATCATAAATCATAATGAAAAATCGGGGATAAAAATGTAAAGGTGACTGTTCGAATAAGGTATTCTGCGTTGAGAGGTGGCACAGGTACGAGAAGCCTAATTAGACACCTGGGCTCAAACAGACCAAACAGCCATCAACCATCGTTAGAGAGATTGGACAATAGACAGCCGTTCATTCTGGAACACATTATTACACTTAGGGATATATGTATGGGACATGTATTATGTATGTCCAACCACCGACTACTTCAGTTCCCATTGATGGATGGCGTAGCAGTTGGCTGGAAGAATGCTAAGGGCGACAAAATCAAAACAAAAGGCCGATCCATGAGATTAATGACGATTGGACTGAGCCATGTCAATGTGTGCACACCACCTGGTTTGGGTCCGCATGATAGTCGAAGCCAGTGGTTGGAGACTACATCACTTGTCTCACAATCCTTTGCAATGTCGCAGATGCATCCATTTTTTGTCTTCCACCAGAATCCATGTTTCAGAGGTCCTCACGACATTTTATCACTGATATATATTTCCTTGAGATCCATTTCTGATCCCTAATCTTTTCGATTACCAATGATACTGTTACCACCTTTAATACTTCGCCTGACAATTTCTCTGTTCTAATGTAGTATGGACACTTGAACTGACGTACATACGAACGAAGTTCCCCGTTGCAACTGACTGACTGATTACGAAAACAAGATCAATGAACACCAATATAACTTACATTGGGTGAGGCGGCTTTTGGAATATTAGCGATTTGCTTTACATTTACACCATCCATCGATTTTATATCAGTGACTGGATATTCCTTAATTGAATCATTCATCGTCGACACATCGATTGTCTGTGAAGAAGTTTCAGATTGTGGTCGCTGAATAAAGCAATACTGACGTTTTATGTATGCCATATATTCATGAAAATGCCGATCCTGTAACTGAGCAATAAGTTCAGCTCGCTGTGTATTACAATAAAAGTGAACGGTTAAATGTAATCGGCATTTCGTTAACCAAACTTTATACATAAAATTAATAAATACTTTTATGGACAAAGTGTACAACAAACTTGGATGGCGGACAGAATTTTAATAAATCAGTTAGCATATCTACTGCAAGAATGACTCGAATATGCTGACTGATCTCTTTCCAACCAATATTGTGGAAGCAGTAACTTTCGATATTATCTTATGAAGAGTTACTGTTTAGAATTTATTACATATTGATTAAAAATTCAGATTAGTGTATTCTGATATTCTCCTAATTGAAAGCTATTTCTGTATATTTTACCGTTCTTGAGTAATCGGTGATTAACTACGGACCTATTACTGGTTTTCTCGTTGGCATCTTGTATAGCTATGAGCACACCGTAATTTTTTATCTACGTTGATTTTTGGTCAAGAACTTACTCGTTATTATTGTACGTGTTTCAGTCATAACAACAGCTACATAATTGATATCTTATCTACTTGCCTTGTTCTTTCATCGAACTGAATGCTACGGGATAAAGGCACACTTCCAACCCCATAAACACTTTGATTATCTCACACGTAGCTCCAGATTAGTTACTATCGATAGAAGTATGTAGCTGATCAAAGCATAAGACGTTATTCTAGAGACCGAATAGTTATGCTCAGGCTGGAGGATCATAAGCCAGATTCTAATTGGTGAGACTTCGGAAAGACATTAAGCTAAGACAACGAAGAGGCCACAGTGAGTGTCCCTATCTTTCCAAGTTCTTACTTTCTCATTTGGTTGGACAGCGCGTAAACGACTATGTACTGGGATCCAGTCTAAGAGAGCTGCTCCTGCTCTGGAACTTAATGCAATACATGTAGCGTAACTCAAGTTGGCTCTTTATCTAGACATATTGAGGTCGAATAAATCACTATACTTGGATCCTGTATGCGCGTTTCGGATAAGTAACATACATCAATGGTACGGGGTTTTAAATTCCTAGCTAAGGAAGCCTGGTGCCCTATATGACACAAAGTTCGAACATTCAAAGCTCCAACATGTAGTTTAGAATGGGGTTTCAGGAGGCGAGGAATAATGTTTCACGAACTCGAATCATTAGCATTATGGGGGCAAGGTGATTAAGGTATACCAGAAGGGTTGGTCATGGGGATTAGTCATTAAGAGGTGAAGGAAGGATTTGGTTGTCAATAAGTTGATCTCATATACTGTGAGAGGTATGAGAGCGGACGTCACCTCCCGGCTGCTCACACATACCGAAAGAAAGCTGTTGTATCTGCTTGGATGCACTATTGTAATCTACTCTAAGAGCTTTACTTGCTCATAAACTGGTGTGCTTCGTTATAAAGCGATTCACAGACAGCAGGGACATTCCACGTTAACCGAAGCAAGATTAAGAAGGTTAAATATCGACATCAGCTTTGGCATGTTATATTTGATGGAACGGTAAATGCAGATCTTTGGCGAACCGACGGAATCTGTTAGCAGTACCTCCTTTTGGGCAGTGTAAGAAAAGTTTCTCCTACATCATTCCCTGAACAGGAACTTCATATTAGACTCTCAACGTTATCATTGAAAGGAGCTTGTCTTATGTGACGCGGAATATCAAAACAAATCAGAAGCGTTGAAGTGCTTTCCCGTCACAGTTTTCGGTCAGAGGCCTTTTCTAGATTAGTGACTAGATCCATGAACGAATTCATTAAGTGAATTACTCACTTGGTCAAGACCAAGTACTTAAAACCCTGAGCTCTTTAGATGCGAAAAAATCAACTGAACCGGATCAAAACCAAAAGATAAAGTGCACACACTGCTGCCTCGCTAACTAACTAACTATTGTAATCTACTCTAAGAGCTTTACTTGCTCATAAACTGGTGTGCTTCGTTATAAAGCGATTCACAGACCACACAGAATTAACACGAAAATTTTCGAAATAAACAATCTTGAACTTTTCATTACAAAGGTATTGTATGGCTGACAATTTATTATATAGCAACTAACTATCTTGTAAGCATCAGTTAGACATACAAAATAATGTGTAAACGATACTGTGCAAATCGTCACTAAAAAAATAACAAACCTTAACAGCATCCATGGGATGATGAAGAGATGCATACGTTTGGAACTGACTTTCAGTTTGAGCATTTAAAGCAGCTCGGATTTCAGCTCTAAAGAGGAAAGGAAATAAGATAGATAATATTATGAGACATAAAACTAACCAATAATCTAATAAAAAAGCGATTGTAAAAATCTAACAATTATATTCATTTCGGCCTGCAAAAATGTTATTTAACCCTAACTCACTCCCTTCAATACCAAAATAGATGACAGAACATTTACTGGAAAAAACGTAACATGCTTAGTCAGTCAGCTGCAACGTAGAACTTCGTACGTAAGTATATCAGTTTATGGTGCCATACCACATTAGCACAGAGAAGCAATTAGCAATTCAAATCCCACGGTTGTAGAGATATTAGTAGGACTGCTGGTAATAAACAGGATTACGGTTCAAAGATATTATTCAAGTAATATAATTCAGTGAGATAAGTTTAAAAAGACAAAAGAAGAGGTGTTGAAGAATCCGGGAGATAAGGATTTCGGAGAACACAAAGAGTGGATTTCCCTAACCCACTGAAAAACATTTTGAGCCACGTCGTTCAGGGTCATTAAATATCGGTTTATCTTGTCTAGAGGATCCCAACTAGGTAGCCTACATCTACCAACATGACTCAGTCCACTTGTCAGTGACTTCATGGATTTCTGCCATGTTTTGGTCTGGCCGCCCCTAGCTTTCGCACAACCTATTCCTATATAGGAAAACATAGCCCAGAGGCATTCGGTGGTTAGGCAAACTCAACATATGTCCCAAACACCTCAACTGATGAAGTTTCAATACTTCGTCTATTGATGTGCCATCATTACCTAGTACTCGCTTCCTAACAACTGCATTGCTTACTCAGTTATCCCACGATACACGAGTAATGCTTCGGAGACACCTATGGTCGAAAATCAGTAACCTACTAATATCTTCTACTGTGACAGGCCATGTTTCACAGCGACAAAGTACGATGGAGTGAACTACTGAGCAGTTAACTCGGTCTTTAGGTAGCGAACGGATATCTCGCCTTCGCCATAAGTGATCCAGGTAGGCAAAAGCCAATCGAACAGACTGTATCTGTGTCGAGATTTCGTCAGTCACCAGGCAATCAGCACTGATGACACTCCCCAGATAAGTGAAGCGATCAACACGCTCAACTGCTTCACTCCCTAACAGTAGCCCGGGTACCGATTCAAACTAATCCTGAGACTACGTTTTGAATTTCAAAGGTAAGGACCGCTTCCCGAAAATGCTTGCATTGTTGCTCACGGTAGTCAGAAGATTGCATTTTTTCAGCATCTTCACCGAACAGAATTATGTCATCGGCATATTCTAAGTCAATAAGCTAGCCTCCTGGTAGAAGGTCTACTCCTGAAAATTCAGAAAAGGATAAGGTTATATCTAGCAACATGTCTATGACAAAATCGAAAAGGAATGGGGAAAGTGGACATCTCTGACGAACACCACTTGAAGTAAAGAATTCCGATGACAGTTCGCCATAAACTCTCACTCGACCTGCAGTGTTCAAGTAGAAAGCTTCTATAAGGTGAATGTACTTTTCTGGTACACCTTTCAATAATGACAGACACTGCCAAAGAACCTCACGATCCACAGAGTCGAATGCCGCCTTAAGGTCCAGGAGGACAACTATTGTTGGACGCCTAAATGTGTGTCTGTGTTCCAGGACCTGTCGTAGTGTGAAGATGTAGTTTATACAGCCACATCCTTCTCTGTAACCAGCCTGGTTTTCTCTAGTCTGCTCTTCACGAGCTATAGTTAGGCTTCTAAGTATAATCGAGGCTAGCAATTTAGCAACTATATTAGTTAGACTGATTCCCCTGTGACTGTCACAAGAAGACTTGTGTCCTTTCTCATAGATTGGGACAATCGGCGATTGAGACCAGTCGGATAGGATTACGTCCAGTTCCCAGATTCTACCTAAGATCTCGGTTAATCTAACTGTTAAAACTGGACCAACATCCTTAAAAATCTCAGGTGTCAGTCTATCAGGACCTGCTGCTCTACCTCGCTTTAGATTTCCTATAGCTTTCTCAACTTCATAAAGACTGGGAGGACTTAAATCGATATGCCATTCAGGATGACTGGGGACCGTGGCCAACCGAAGTATGGTTGACGGCCAATTGAACTGATACTTAAAGTGTTCTGCCCATCGATCCAATCTCCTGGATTGAGGATGAATGATACAGCCATCCTGTTCTGAGATAGTTTCGCAAACAAATGGGTTTCTAATACCGGTTTCCTTCATAAGGCGGAACAACTATCTGCTGTTGCCTATCGCCGCTGCCTTTTCCATCGCTTCTGCTTTCGCCACCGACCACTGTTTGCGGTCGTTGCGTAGGCTTTTTATCAGCCTGCTGTGAAGCTGACTTCGCTCCTCATCATGTTCAGAGCCAGATGGGATGCGCTTTCGAGCATCCATCAGTTCAGTGTATGCTACTGAGATCCACGGCTTCTTCCTACCCCTATGGTTTACCTTACTAGCAGATATCACTGCTATTTCTACAGCTTTTTTGATATCATTCCAACCTGCTTCCGGGTGGAGATCACTCACATGGTCACTTAACCGTTTTTCCAGTTGTTCCTGAAATATTTTCTTAGCTTTATTATCATTAAGCAGAACCCTAAGAGGTTTCTTCGCGGTGTCTTTCCTACGTCCAGTAAGACGCAAACAAATACGCGCTCGCACTAGGGCATGACCTGAATCTAGGCATGTGCCCTAGAACGAGCGACAGTCTTCTATTGGACCCGTCCATCGGTGGCTTATAGCGATGTGATGTAGTTGTGTCCAGCTTTGGGATGACTATGGGGGTCGCCATGTCAAGAGATGCTTTTCATTATGCCTAAAGTTAGTGTTTGCTAGAGATAGACGGTTACCTGAGCACAACTGCAACAGACGGTCGCCATTATCTGTTCTTTGAGCCGCGATATCATAAGATCCACCCAGGTGTCTTTACTGCTCACACAGCATACCCACGTGAGCATTAAAGTCACCAGCCATTATTACTATGTCAGAGTGCCCAACGTTTTGGAGGAGGTCTGAAAGCTTTCTGTAGAATCTATCTTTCACCTCATCAGAACTGCAATCAGTGGGAGCGCAGGCAGATACGACGAAGAGGCAACGGCAAGTGTCCCTAACTTTCCGAGTCCTTACTGTACCGTTTAGTCGGACAGCGCATGAAACGACTATCTACTGGAATCCAGTCTAGGAGAGATAGGTCTGCCCTAGGGCTCAATGCCATACCTACACCAGCGATACCCCGAGAAGCAGCATCAGAGCTTCCAGATACACGAAGGGTAAATCAAGTTGCTCCTTTATCTTGAAATAGTGAGGTCAAGTGAATGACTTTACTAGGATCCTGTGTGCGCGTTTCCCGGGAGCGTGACCGCAGAGTTCAAGGGAAAACTGCTCCAGGCCGGTCACGCACGGCCTTTTTATGAAAGGTATTTTGAGTATTAGCTCCGCTCTTAAAAGTCCTTAGTGGGCAACCTTACCGACGGAGTCAGAAAGCCGTGAGGTAGGGTGAGTTGTGACATTCTTAGGGTTGACCTTGTCTAACTCTTCCTTCCTTGTGAGAAGGCAGCATCGCTGCAGATGCTGGTTGTCAGAGGGAAACACCTTACTACTGTCACCCCCCATTTGCAGTCAGCAGTACGACTTCGCCCTTTTTGTTGCTGAACATTTGTACTCGGTTCATATATGAACGCATCAAAACAGAAAACTTGATACATCTAAACACTATTTAATAGGGACAACAGTACGTAGATAAATTTTCAACAGCTTTCATTGAAGACTATCATATATTTCGTAAAACAATTCAAAACAAAAGGCTTAAAATCAACCAAAACACATAAATTTGGTCTCTGTCACGTATTTAAAACCGTTTAAATTCAACATTAGTCCCAAAAAAATCTAACTAATAAATCTGGTGTTAAAACTGAGCACTTACTCGTTTTGTAAGATGAAACAAGATTGATTACTACTACCGATGGTGCTAGCAGGTTCATTCGAACTAGAAGTGTTCGTTTCTCTAAAATATAGAAGTAGTAAAAGAAAGTATGAGGAGGTCAGTATGATAATTCATTAATATTCTATTGACTGCACCAGCTACAACTCTACCTGGAGCCGTCCTAGGAATAGTGTCGGTCACAAGCCCGGGTAAAGGGGGGTCGAAGATATTATTACAAACCGCATCCTTTAAAAATCAACTCTACCAAAAAAAGGGTTACCAAAATGTCACTCAAACTATCTAAACTCGGCCCTAGGAGTTGGAAAGTCTTCATTTGAAAAAGTTCGGATGGTTAAAGCTGAATTTCTTCGTAAGTCACGAGGCTGACGCCTCTTTTCACAATCAGAGCAACAATTAACATGAGTAAATGGAATGTTCACACAATATGGGAAACCAGAAGGACAATTCAAGTAGAAGTGGACATGAAGAGACGCAACCTGGAGGTATTGGAACAATCGAAACTTATTGGATGCAAGATGGACAAAAAAGACAAGCACCAGGAGAGATGCTGATGTACTCCGGACATGAAGAAGGAAATGCCACACAAACACAAGGAGTCATACAGATGATGTCCAAATAAGCCCAAAAAGCACTTATAGGATAGGAATGTCACAGATCGATGGCCATCGAAGCATCCTTCAAGAGAAAGGGACAGGATATTACAATGAATATCACTAAGTGATATGTGCCACGAACGATAACAATGAAGGCAATATACAAAAATTTTATGGGCAGTTGCAGTTAATCGTAAGCAAATTCCCAGCTAGGGACTTGATCATTCGGATGGGAGACTTACACGTCACGGTTGGGATGGATAACACAGGGTACAAAAACATCACGGGACGACCTGGACTGAGTCAAAGGGAAAAAGGCTGTGAGAGATCCGCAAATCCACGTGCCTTGAACAAAAAGGTTTTCCATCGCGCCAAATTTCCCTAAAACTTCAAACATAAAGCTACATTGGTCTCACAGGACAACACCATGGCGAACCGAATCGAGCACAACTGCATAAATAAAAAGCTCGGAAGGACCACGGAAGACGTAAGAACAGAGAGAAGAGCTGACATAGATTCAGATCATCACTTGATGGTGGCCAGCATTAAATTGAAACTAAGGAACAACTGGAAACTGGATAAACAGCATTATAAAAGTTCAAAACAGCCTTTCTTCTAGATACTGACAAACTCAACGAATACGAAATAGCTCTCAGCAACAGAAAGCCTTTAATGATGTAAAAACAAGGAGGAATAACCATGGAGAAAGACTATAAAGAAGAGATATGTTAATTTCGGGCTAAACAAGGTAAACGTCTTAGTGGCAAAATATTGTGGTTCGTGTTGTCATCATGGGTCAGTCAGTCAGTTGCAACGTAGAACTTCGTACGTATGTACATAAGTTCATGTTGCCATACCACATTATTAGCACAGAGATGCAAATGTCAAATCAAATCCCATAGTGATAAAGATGGTAGGGGTATTATTGTTATAATAAAGAAGACTAGGGTTTAAGATATTATTCAAAAAAAAATATATATATATAATTCAGTGAGATAAGGTTAGAAAGACAAAGGTAGAAGAGCTGACGAATCCAGAAGATTAGGATTTGAGAGAGCTCAAAGAGTGGATGCACCTGCGCCATTGCAAACGATTTTGAGCCATGTCGTTCAAGGTCTCTAACCATTGATGACTTTCGTCTCGCGGACCCCAACCAGGTAGTCTACATCTACCAACATGACTCAGTCCACTTGTCAGTGACTTCATGGATTTATGCCATGTTTTGGTCTGGCCGCCCCTAGCTTTCTTCCAACCTACTCCTACACCACAAAACATAGCTCGTCGAGGCAGTCGGTGGTTAGGCATACGTAACACATGTCCCAACCACCTCAACTGATGAAGTTTCACCACTTCATCTATTGATCTGCCATCGTTACCTAGTACTCGTTTCCTAACGACAGCATTGCTTACTCGGCTGTCCCACGATATACGAGCAATGCTTCTTAAACATCTATGATCGAATACTAGTAACCTACGAACATCTTCTACTCTTAACGGCTATGTTTCACAGCCATATAAGAGAACGGAACGAACTGCTGCGCAGTACACCCGCCCTTTGGTTAGCGAACGGATATCACGCCTACGCCATAAGTGACGCAGGTTGGCAAAAGCCAATCGAGCTTTCTGTATCCGAGCTGAGATTTCGTCAGTCACCAGACCGTCAGCACTGATGAGACTCCCCAGATAAGTGAAGTGATCTACACGCTCGACTACTTCACTCCCTATCACTAGTTCAGGTGCCGAAGCAACCCAGTCTTGAAGCAACATTTTGCATTTCGAGGGGGAAAACCGCATCCCGAACATGCTCGCATTGTTGCTTATGGTAGTCAGAAGACTCTGCATTTTGTCAGCGTCTTCACCAAATAGAACTATGTCATCGGCATATTCTAGATCAGTAAGCGACTTTCCTGGTAGAAGGTCAACCCCTGAAAAATCTGACGAGCTTAATGTTAACTCTAAGAGGATGTCTACGACAAAGTTGAACAAGAATGGAGAGAGTGGACAGCCCTGACGGACACCACTTGATGTAGAGAATTCCGATGACAGTTCGCCATATGCTCTCACCCGACCAGTGGTGCTCGAGTAGAGTGCTTGTATGAGGTTAATGTACTTCTCTGGTACACCTTTCAATGACAGACACTGCCACAGAACCTCACGATCCACTGAGTCGAATGCCGCCTTAAGGTCCAGGAACACGACTATTGTCGGACGCCTAAATGTGTGTCTGTGTTCCAGGACCTGTCGTAGTGTGAAGATGTGGTCTATACAACCACGTCCAGGTCGAAAACCAGATTGGTTTTCTCGAGTCTGCTCTTCGCGAGCTCTAGTTAGACGTCTAAGTATAATCGAGGCTAACAATTTAGAAACTATATTAGTTAAACTTATTCCCCTGTGATTGTCACAAGAGGACTTCTGTCCTTTCTTATAAATTGGGACAATTAGCGACTGAGACCACTCAGATGGGATTACGTCGATTTCCCAGATTCTACCTAGGATCTCGGTCAGTCTAACCGTTAAAACTGGACCACCATCCTTAAACATCTCAGGGGTAAGCCTATCGGGACCTGCCGCTCTACCTCTCCTTAGGTTTCCTATAGCTTTCTCAACTTCATGTAAACTGGGAGGACTTAAATCGATTCGCCATTCAGGATGACTGGAGATCGTGGGCAACCGAAGAGTGGCTGAAGGCCAGTTGAACTGATCCCTAAAGTGTTCTGCCCATCGGTCCAGCCTCCTAGATTGAGAATGGATAATAAGACCATCCTTTTCCGAGATAGTCTCACTTACATTCGGGTTGCTAATACCGGTTTCTTTGATAAGGCGGAAAAGTTGTCTAGTGTTGCCTATCGCCGCTGCCTTTTCCATCGCTTTTGCTTTCGCCACCCACCACTGTTCACGGTCGTTACGTAGGCTTTTTATAAGTCTGCGCCTAAGTTGAGTACGCTCTTCATCATGTTCAGAGTCAGGTGGGATGCGTTTTCGAGCATCCATCAGTTCGGTGGATGCGACTGAAATCCACGGCTTCATCCTAGCCTTATGGTTTACCTTGCTAGCAGATATCACTGCTGTTTCCACAGCCTTCTTTATATCATTCCAACCTGACTCCGGATGGGAATCACTTGCATGATCGCCCAATTGTTTTTCTAGTTCCTCCTGAAATATTTTCTTAGCTTGATTATCGTCAAGTAAAGCCCTAAGAGGCTTCCTTACGGTGTCTTTCCTACGTCCAGCAAGCCTCAAACAAATACGTGCTCGCACTAGGGCATGATCTGAATCTAAACATGTGCCCCAGAACGAGCGACAGTCCTCTATCGAACCCCTCCATCGGTGGCTGATGGCGATATGATCTAGTGGTTTGTCCAACGTTGAGACGACTTCGGGGGTCGCCAGGTCTAAAGGTGTTTTTCCTTATGCTTAAAATTAGTGTTTGCTAGAAATAGTTGGTTATCTGAGCACAGTTGCAACAGACGGTCGCCATTGTCTGTTCTTTGAGCCGCGAGACCGTAACATCCACCTAGGTGTCTTTCATTTTCACTTAGTCTACCTACTTGTGCATTGAAGTCACCAGCCATTATAACTATATCAGAGCGCTTAAGTTTTTGGAGGAGGTCCGAAAGCTTTCTGTAAAACTCATCTTTTACATCATCTGGGCTGCAGTCAGTGGGGGCGTAGGCTGATATGACGAAGAGGCAACGGCGAGTGTCCCTATCTTTCCGAGTCCTTACTGTCCCGTTGAGTCGGACGGCGCACAAGCGACTATCTACTGGGATCCAGTCAAGGAGAGATTGTTCTGCCCTACGACTCAATGCTATACCTACACCGGCGAGGCCCCTAGAAGCAGCATCAGGGCTACCGGATACACGAAGGGTAAATCGAGCTGCTTCTTTATCTTGACATGGTGTGGTCAAGTGTATGACGTGACTCGGATCCTGTATGCGCGTTTCCGAGACGCAGCACACATCGATGGAACGAGATTCCAAAGTCCTAGCTAATGACGCCTGTTGCCCTATTTGACACAATGTTCGTACATTGAATGCTCCAACATGTAGTTTGGAACGGGGTTTAATGAGACCAGGAACGACGTTTCGCAAACTCGCATCGTTTGCATTAGCTGTGCACTGTAATAAATGAATGTGAGAAGAGTTAGTTGTGGAGATAAGAGAGGTATTAGGGAATGTAGGAAGGATTTGATTTTGAACAATTTGGTCTCGTGTGCTGTTGCGGGTATGAGGGCGGTTATCGCTTCCCGGCTGCCCACACCGTGGAAGGTTGTTTCTTGACGAACCTGAAAAGGAAGATGGATTAGTGTTGGTGCGTGACCGCAGAGTCCAAGGGACAACTGCTCCAGGCCGGTCACGCACGGCCTTTTTATGAGAGGTATTTAGAGGATTAGCTCCGTTCTTAAAGGCCCTTAGTGGGCACCCTTACCCAAGGAGACGGAAATCCGTGAGTTAGGGGAGGTGTGACATTTTTAGGGCCGACCTTTTCTAACCCTTCCTTCCTTGTGAGAAGGCAGCATCGCTGCAGATGCTGGTTGTCCGAGGGAAACACCTTACTGCTGTCACACCCCTCTGCAGTCAGCAGTACGACTTCGCCCTCAGACCTTGGGTAGCTGCTTTTAGTCTCATCGTTCTCCAATCGACCTGCCTGGCATGGTAGGACCTGCAGGAACATGTGTTCCAGCCATTAACGATAATGGAGAAGACTAGATTCGAAGATATTATTCAAAACGCATAATCTAGTGAAATAAGCTTAAAAAGAGAAAGGTGGTAAGGAATTCAGAAGATTAAGATTTGAGAGAACACAAGGAATGGATGCACCTGCGCCATCGCAAACGACTTTCAGCCATGTCATTCAAAGTCTCCAACTAACGGTTACTATCGTCTCGCGGGCACCAGCCAGGCACCCTACACATACCAACACGGCCTGGTCCACTTCTCAGTGACTTCATAAATTTGTGCCATGTTTTCGTTTGACCGCACCTAGCTTTCTTCACTAGCATTGCTTACCCCAGGGTCCCAGGATATAAGAAAAATAATAAAAACCTACGAATATCCTCTACTCATACTGGCCATGTTTAACACACGTATAGTTGGACGGAGCGAACTGATTCTACGTAAACCAGTCCTTTGGTCAGCATTTTCGCTTAGGCTGGCCAGAAGACTCTGCATTTTGTCAGATTCTTCACCAAACAAAACTATTTCATCGGTATATTTCTAAGTCAACAAGCGAAACTCTCTGAAGAAGGTCGATTCCCGAGAAATCAGATGACGAGTGTTATATCTAAAAGCATATCAATGACAGTGTTGAATATGAATGGAGATAGTGGACGAACACCATTTGGAAGTAATCGGTTCCGATGACAGTTCGCCATAAACTCTCATTCGACCAGTGGTGTTCGAGTAGAAAGCATGTATGAGATTAGTGTTTCTATTTGCTACACCATTCAATGACAGACAATTTCACAAAATCTCACGATCAACAGAGTCAAATGCAGCCTTAAGTTCAAAGAATACTACTATTTTCGGACGTCTGAGCGTGTGTATGTCTTCTAGGACCTGACGAATTGTGAATATCTGGTCCATACAGCCACGTCCACGTCTCAGATCAGTCTTGATCTCTTCAGTCTGCAACAGTAGGCAACGATTAAAACTTATCAAGGAAGCCGGTGTTAGAAATCCATTTGTTTGCGAAACTATCTCAGAACAGGATGGCTGTATCATTCATCCTCAATCCAGGAGATTGGATCGATGGGCAGAACACTTTAAGTATCAGTTCAATTGGCCGTCAACCATACTTCGGTTGGCCACGGTCCCCAGTCATCCTGAATGGCATATCGATTTAAGTCCTCCCAGTCTTTATGAAGTTGAGAAAGCTATAGGAAATCTAAAGCGAGGTAGAGCAGCAGGTCCTGATAGACTGACACCTGAGATTTTTAAGGATGTTGGTCCAGTTTTAACAGTTAGATTAACCGAGATCTTAGGTAGAATCTGGGAACTGGACGTAATCCTATCCGACTGGTCTCAATCGCCGATTGTCCCAATCTATGAGAAAGGACACAAGTCTTCTTGTGACAGTCACAGGGGAATCAGTCTAACTAATATAGTTGCTAAATTGCTAGCCTCGATTATACTTAGAAGCCTAACTATAGCTCGTGAAGAGCAGACTAGAGAAAACCAGGCTGGTTACAGAGAAGGATGTGGCTGTATAAACTACATCTTCACACTACGACAGGTCCTGGAACACAGACACACATTTAGGCGTCCAACAATAGTTGTCCTCCTGGACCTTAAGGCGGCATTCGACTCTGTGGATCGTGAGGTTCTTTGGCAGTGTCTGTCATTATTGAAAGGTGTACCAGAAAAGTACATTCACCTTATAGAAGCTTTCTACTTGAACACTGCAGGTCGAGTGAGAGTTTATGGCGAACTGTCATCGGAATTCTTTACTTCAAGTGGTGTTCGTCAGAGATGTCCACTTTCCCCATTCCTTTTCGATTTTGTCATAGACATGTTGCTAGATATAACCTTATCCTTTTCTGAATTTTCAGGAGTAGACCTTCTACCAGGAGGCTAGCTTATTGACTTAGAATATGCCGATGACATAATTCTGTTCGGTGAAGATGCTGAAAAAATGCAGATCGTGGTGGTGATTCGTTCTCTTAGCTGGATGTTTTGGTTGTGAAGCTTTTGTTGTTCTTCTGAACAACCTTATCAGCACATACTTCAGATAGAAGTAAGGCATTCGAATTTCTCCCATTTGACCTGTAGCTTGTTCTGCTAAGCTCGATCTTGACTGCTTGCTGTTGACACTAAACCTGTCGTTGTTTACACCTTTGTTTGGATTGTATCCGCCTTTTGATCTGTTTCTTGATCCTATTTCACCTATAATATTTCTGATTGGTTGATAAATTGGGTGAATGTTGATGTTTGTTGATTGCTGATTGACCTGAGTGCCAAGCTTATGAGAATTCTCTAGTGTTCTTTGTCCTCCCCCTATCCAGTATTTCCACGAGTTGGAGAAGATCTACAGTCGGATCAACGAATTCGATGACATCAAATTGACGATGGAAAAGGAATCAAAAAGCAGTCTATCATTCTTGGATGTACTAATCACCAGAACTCACACAGGAAAACTTGACACTCAAGTATTTCGGAAGCCAACCCACACTGAAAAAGAAGATTAGTATTGGTCTTAGAGACCTGGGAGTGTGACCGCAGAGTTCAAGGGAAAACTGCTCCAGGCCGGTCACGCACGGCCTTTTTATGAAAGGTATTTAGAGGATTAGCTCCGCTCTTAAAAGTCCTTAGTGGGCAACCTTACCGACGGAGTCAGAAAGCCGTGAGGTAGGGTGAGTTGTGACATTCTTAGGGTTGACCTTGTCTAACTCTTCCTTCCTTGTGAGAAGGCAGCATCGCTGCAGATGCTGGTTGTCAGAGGGAAACACCTTACTACTGTCACCCCCCATTTGCAGTCAGCAGTACGACTTCGCCCTCAGACCCTGAGTAGCTGCTTTTAGTCTCATCGTTCTCCAATCGACCTGCCTGGCATGGTAGAACCTACAGGAACATATGTTCCAGCCAATATAGCTCGGTTGGGTTATCACGATAAGCAAGCCTGACCACCACGTCAAGGTAGCAGCTACGGTCAACTATTCAACAAACGTATTTACGAGATTGAACACATCCAAAACAAGGTATTTGATGTTCCAACAAATGTTTGATCGAAAACGGTTTATGATCATTTTTAGTGGTTCAAAAGTATCGTTTTTCTTTTAAATTTATATATATATATATATATATATATGTACAACACAAGTAACAACCAAATCAAACTTGACGAGGAAGCTCTGGAAGAGATATCCGGGCAACAACATGAGTAAACAAGGGGGATCTGATGCAAACGTGAATACATCGATTAGTGAAAGGGCAGCATTTCTGCAACTGAAGAACATCTGGAACTCAAAACAACTACCAACCAACACAAAAGTCAAAATTTTCACCACAAAGGTCAGATAGTTCTATCGTACGGAGTGGAAAATTGGAGAGCTACGAGAACCATTATCCAGAGGATGAATTTCCTTACAGACAGCTGTATCAGCAAGGTACTCCATACCGACTGAACGAGCACCTTCAACAACAACCTACTGTGGCGGAGAACAAACCAGCTTCCGATTGGAGAGGAAATTAGAAAGAGTATGGAAGTAGGTAAGACACATATTATGGTAATCATTAAATTGTGTCATGAGTAAAGTCATAGCTTTGAATCCTCAAGGCAGAGGGAAAAGAGAAAGACCAAAGAACATATTACGTCTGGAATCGGAGGCAGAAATCAAAAGAATGGATCATATTTAGTCGAAGAATTGAATACTGAACCACTGGATCACAGATTTAATTGCATTGCATACAGATTAGTTTGAGCAGCCGAGTGTATAAATCCTGTCTTTTTAAACGACTCATACTGAATTTTGTAAAAATTATCCGATAACTTGGATAGGACTAATTGAAACGCTGTTGAAAATCTTAAGCTACTGACCAAAGTATAATTCTAAAAAACCAGTCTATCGTTTGTACAAAGCCTTTAATTAGGGTTTGAAGGTGGTAATTCTGAGGTCGTTTAAAAATTAGTAACAAAGAGACTTTGAAAAAGTAGTTGTATTTGACTATCCAAACAAGTTTTAATCGTTCAGTATGAATACATTTTGATGGTTTGAATCTTGGAACGTCATTAACTTGATACCCGACTACTTATTTTCACCTTTAGGCTATTAGAAAAAGAGCTTTAATTTCATCATTACGTTATAACATAATAGTAACATGTTAAAACACCCCAACTCATTAGATAGCTAAGAACTGAACAGCAGGTAAATTTATTCTGATGAAACTTTTCCATAAAGATAGGGATTGTCTTAGGTGATCTTCGTAAAATGAAGTGATATCCAAAGTGATAGAGGTGCTACGTTTTATTAGACCGTAGCTGCTACCTTGACGTGGTGGTCGGGCTTGCCTACCGTGATGACCCAACCGAGCTATAATGCCCGGGATATGTTCTTTTAGGTCCTATCATACTAGACAGGTCGATTGGAGAATGGTAAGACTTAAGGCAGCAACTCAAGGTCTAAGGGAAAAGTCTTACTGCCAACAGTAGAGGGGTGTGACAGTAGTAAGGTATTTCCCTCTGACAACCAGCGTCTGCAGTGATGCTGCCTTCTTACAAGGAAGCGGTTGGAAAAGGTCAAGCCTAAAAATGTTACACATCACATTATCCCGTGGATTTCCATCACCGGGATAAGGCATTTGAAGAGCGGAGCTAACACTTTAAAACCTCATAAGATATAACAGGGTCTTTAAGCACAGCAAATGAGATTACGATTGTTAAAAATGCTTACATACTTCGAAAAATGATCGGGAACACTGTCTTTGCTGCGTGAATACGCTTCCATATATGATATGAACAACGGACAAAGATGACAAATCCTATTTATGAACTCCACCTGAGCTTCTTTTGGCTTCATATCGCTTAACGTTTCCCAACGAGCACTGAAAAACAAGCATAAGTTGGCGTCTCATTTATATAGTTTAAATATTAGTTTTACCATCATTAGTTATCATTTTTTGATAGTGTACCTTTTTGCCTGAGACCTGCTTTCCTTCACATGTTGTAATCACTACTGATTATTAAGCTGTCCAATAGTATACTGTAGTTCTAGCTGTTTAAACTTCCGATAACATGATAGACTAAATCCTTTCGCTAACTCTCCCCATTTCGTCATAACCCATATTAGGTGGTCGTTTTTTTCAAGCTGCAAAATGTTCCGGGTTATAAGTGGTATTATGAAAATACTCGACTGATTATGTCTAACTCATCACACCTTAAGCTTAATGAAGTAGAGCCCAGAAATTTCACAGGCTAGTCAGGGTAAATTATGACCATCTTAGGCTAACCGACCCCCTAATAATTCAGATTATTAGTTTATAACCATTATATTTAAAAACCTCTAGTTACTTAGGTATTGTTAGTCTCATTTAAGGTTGTATATCTCTATTTTTAACTGACACGAACCGAGAACCCGATATCTGTCTTAAAAGTGAACTGCTGATATCCATTTTCACACATCACCATGAAACTTAATGGTGACTACTGCAGCAAATATATAATACAACTAACTAAATTTTGAGAGCGATTCTATAGTTGCGTTTCATTCCTGATGTAACTGTATCTTAGTGGTGAGTTTGCCGAACCCATGAGATTTCACGCAGACAACGATCGTCCACAAATCTGTATTTAACGAAGAATAAAATCGAGCATTAGATGAGAGAATTCCATTTTGCAATATATTCAGTCAAATTCCAATAATCCGGCAAAACCTCCAATCAATCAATCAATAGCAAAACCTTGGTGGTTACAAGCTATTTACTTTCACGACTGATTGGCGCACTTATGATGAGTTCAAAAAAATCTTACTTGTGAGTCAGAAATTATTAGCCTGATGAAGAAATTTCACTCAAATACACTATTCAGTTAATTATTCTACTTACTTTCTCCTTTGACCAATTATATCAAGAAGCCCAGGTACAGGTGCTTTTGACCGATCATACTTCCCGTATTTCTTAATACACATGAGAGCCGAAAGTTGAATTCGATCGTCAAAACTTAAGTGGAATGCCTTTTCTGCTTTCTCTAGATGTTAGATTGTTAAATATTAAATTTAAATAAATCTCACCATTGAAGAATGTCTGTGCAAGATCGAATATCTCATCAAAATCAAGCTTATACTTCTTCTGAAACTCCTGATTTCCATGTTCCCTAAACAATCCTTGGACGCAGATGACATCGAAGTAAAGCTTGCCAGCTGGGTATGTAACGTAAATTTTTAAAGTCTCAACATGATTGGCAGAACGTTTCAATTTCCAGTATCCAATAACTTATTCACGAGCTAGTGTAAACCAATTCGATCTTTTCGCGCTCGATTCTGGTTCTCTCGGTACGGTTCCACGTGTCCAGTAATGTCCAATCGATGGAGGTCTAGCCACTCGACTGTCTAATTCTAGTCAGTTGGCAGTTGGTTGTGAGTTTGTATGTCTCGGGATAATGAATGAAACGTTTGTTTCAGGGCAGTAGCGTTTCTGGATACTAGCAGCCGTCACATTACCAAACCGGAGATCAGTTAGTTGCAATGTGGAGAGAGTTATAAGGGTAATAAGGATAAAATTTCTGATGATAATATGAATAAAAATTTCAGAACTGAGTAATTATAGATGAATTTATTTTGTTACTTGGTAGTGAGGATGATTATCATTATTATTATTATTACATAGTCGTTCATGCGCTGTCCAACCAAATGAGAAAGTAAGAACTTGGAAAGATAGGGACACTTAATGTTGCCTCTTCGTTGTCTTACCTTTTGAAGGCAATACTATAAACAGTCCTTTAAACACGATTAGAGAACTGTTAATCAACGTGTTGAACTTAAAACGAATTACATCGGCGTTTCAAGATAGTAACTGATTAAAGATACAAAATAAAGAAGTTCAAGCTATCGTAGCATATATGGGAATAAAAACTAAGTATGCACAGTATACAACGAAACAAAGTCAAAAAATAAAATGGAAAGAGTTGGTGAAATGAATTTATCTGGATCATCTAGATCGATTTCGAATCATGTTCAAGTGAAAGAACGACATTCAATCACCGACTTTTACTACTTTTATGTCTACCGTTTGTCTGTGCATATTCACATTGCTGTTCAGTTAACTAGTAAAATGTCTTGTAATAAGTAGGCTTTTTACAATAAGGAATCTTGTATATTCACGAACCATAAGGATTATCAGTATTCAATAGGAACTTTCCATGTGTCATAAAATCATATCTGCGGCGTCAAAACATAGTTAAACAATACAGGTACCAGAAACATCGTTGCATGAAGTAAGCATTTGTATGATGATATCCATTTATTCAAACACATAAACATTGGTACAAAGGGACATCAAAATATATATGCCTCACACATCATCAAATTTTTGTGTGAACTAAGGTGTTTCCCAGTTGTCCAAAACAAGCTTATTAAATACTCATTCCCTAGCCTTTGGCTTACAGGAGTAATCCACAAGGCAGCAGCACATCCTCGGATGCGGTCTCACGGTAGCAGATCCATACACCATTTGTCCCCTCAGGATTCTGGGGCCCACGTAAACCCTTGATTTGGAATCCCAATGCAATCCGTCAGGATCAGTGGATACTAACTCACAGATGAAGAAGATACATCGGTTCTGGTCTATACAGAATTTTATTTCCGATCAAGACCCGCTATAATAGTATGTAATTTAATAGAATTGTCCATGTTCTGGTATGATGCCTAACGAGCCAAATTGGATTCAATCTTAACTAGGTACGTATGAAAGATATGCATGCAGTTAAGGGACTAAGGTTTTAGTCTTAACACTGCGTTCTTACTGATTTTCGAATTCTTGGGTTGGAGGTTGTTCGCAATGATAAGTTTGAATGCTTCAAAATATTCGGATTTAATCTGATGTGTTGCCGAACGGATTTGAAACATAAATAATACTAAAATGATTTTAAATATGTTTTACCACCATAGACCACTAAGCTATCATGTGTCCTTGGGCTTATATTCTGTAAAACGTATGTTCGAAAAGATCCCGTTCATATCATGGTTTTATAACGCTTGATGAGTGAGGATTTAGGTGTTATGTCCGTTTTCGGGCGAGCAGGCCATGTGTACTTAAAAAGCATCTGCTATTTTGTTTCGTCGGTTTCTTCATTAGATCCGGTTATTGATTGTTCTAAAGTATTCGTTATAATGTGTTCTTATTTTGTCGAGGCGAATAAGAATTATTCTCTATAGCATATAGCTGATTTTTTATCCATATTATCGACTGTATTTCATTTTTGGGTTTTATCATGTTATGTTTATTCAATCAATTTAACGATTCTTTCTTATATGTCTTCATCAGAACAGTCAACTCTTGACTCGGACAAGAAGTGTTTTTGGTAAAATTAAGCAAAACGAGTACAATAATTTTCATTTTTCACAAATCGCAGGTTTTTTTTGTAGAAGGGTTCCACTACAGGAGCCCCCTGCCTAGAAAGGGTTTACACTTTCAATACATAGCGGCTGCATTCAGGGGGGGGGTTCCGGTAGATATATGAATGTATTACGGAAGGGATGACGAACAGGAATTGACCAATGAAGGTCGTGTTGACACCGGTGGTCTTCAAAGTTGAACTGTACCAGTGGTAACGTGGCAGGTTCGCTACTCTATTTGACGTGCCAAGTTTGTCTCTCGAAATTGCATGCGACACCAGCGTGGCTCGTATCCGGACCAGATAAAGCTGCAGCCATAGTACGGAACCAGATTGAGTGAAGTAGCCAGAAACTATGACAACAACCAGTGCGAAACCATTCGTATACCAGATATATTCGTAACCAGAACATCGACTGAGTGCTGTGACAAGATCGTGGGTGATCATGCAAGCTTCCGCAAGGTTGAATGAAGTCGACGATCCTAGCAAAGCAATGGTCGAAGGCGTGGGCTCAGGATAAAAAAATAAAAGAAAAAGAGAAAGGTGTGGCATACATGTAGTATGAGGGTAGCTTCCTATCGCGTATTCGTTGTTGATTGGGATATTGGTTGCAAAAGAGTATAGGTAGGCGTTGGTGGCGACTGGAACGCAAGACGGTAGTCTGGTGCGTACCTTGTAAGCCTGCAATCTCATCTGAAGTCAAGGGTGGCGTGGTCTGCCGATCTGAACGTGAGACCGGAGTCTCATCTATAGATAGGGCAGATGACGCCTGTTGTTGACTGTGGCTTGAGAAGGAGGTCTATGATGCATCTAGCGTGGGATCAGTAAGAAAAATAAGGATCCCGCTAGTGAGTTGGACGAGTCCAGCACTAAATCTCGATTTACCAGGTAGGGCACTGTCATTGACGTGTGCTGGTATGAGATGATTAATGCAGACTGTGTCAATCAGTCTTGAAGGTCTTTTCGTGACGAGAGATCACGTGAATAGATCCTTCGTAAGGTTGTTGAGTACCGAATCTTCTCGGCAGAAGACTTGCGGTCAGGTAAATAACCCTCGAGGGAGAGCGATCTATCGATGTTATATTCGAGTTCACACAGGAGGCAGTATTCGCATCTACGCAGATAGTCGTTGGATGTTATCTGATATACCTAGAATTGCTGCACCGTGGTGTGAAAAATAATTCCTCAGGCAGATGCAATGTCGTGCCGTATACAAGTTCGGAGGCGGAGCATTGGATATCTTCCGTTGTTGCTCCGTAATCGCCGTGTCGTCTCCAACAAATGCCATCTTTCTGCGAACCGAGTGGAGAGGGGAGACTTCAGGACAGTGAGAAAGACGAAGTAATACAGATAGCAAGTAAGTCAAACTCACGCTTAGCGAAAACTAAGTTGTCCAGTGCCAGTCGGCGAGGTTTTGCGGTGACTTGGGATCCGCAGGTGACGATGTGGATTACCACATGATTAATCACTGACTGAATCTCCTCGGTTTCGTTACTTTGGAGAATTTATCGAATATAACATGAAATAAATAGTAATGCAAAATATATATATTGGTGACTCGGTACATATATGTTTGCGCACTAAAAACAATAGATTTGATATTCGATGAAGTATCGATTGACGCAACCTACGTGAATCGAATAGCAATTCATAGTGCTGTAAGGAATCGATACAGAGTACGGCTATGGGAACATCAGAAGGGATGAACGTCCATAGATACTGTCGTTGATTATTCAGGTTGATAGTTAGCTGACGTGTAACGTAGGTGGGAATAACAGAGCCATTAGCAGCGCGTGGTCGAAGCGCCGTAGCTTATGACTTACTGCTACCAAACGATACAACATCAACTTGTGGCCACCAAGTAACTAGCGCACGCAAAGTAAACTAACTACCTGAAGTGACGGGGAGGAGACAGGTGAAAATGCTATCACATTCAACTCGGAGTCTATAATTATGGCTATCCAACATTTCGAAAAGACATTATTAATAGTATTGCAACATTATAAAAATGGTGATAGATGAATAATAGACTCACCGTAATTGACTTCTTTCGAAGAAACGTCTGGCGAGTTTGGATACCAGATTGACTATGATCACAACTAAGTGTTCCATACTATCTGTTACGTCCAATTTTTACACCTTCCTTTTGTGAAGTACTGTGTGTCGATCTATTTGCAATTCACGAACCCAAATCAATGACAAAACGAAATTCCAAAGTTAGGTACCAAAGTTTATTTCTAATTCACAAATAATCGACCAAAATGTTGTTCGTCGAATTACAAATAGACGACCAATGTCGTTCTTCAATTTTTTAGGTTCATGGAGTAAAAACTGCAACCGAACAAACCAAGACAAACAGGAGTCCAAAAAATGGCCAAAAAAAATAATAATTCAAACAAGTTCATAAGTTAAGTAAAACAAATATACCCAAAAAACAGTGAAACTAATGATATTTATATAAAGGTTTTAATCAGCCAAATGTCTTCATTTCTCCCGTAACATTATCCCCTCATTTAAATCAAAATAAATCCATGTTAAAATATTTTATTGAAGGAGAGAGTAGGCATTACATGAGGAGCAGCGCATTTATAAAAATGACGGCAGCGCGAAGAGAACGTTGCGCGCTAGAAGTGAAAGAAGTGTTTTTGGTACAGTTAAACAAAACGAGTACAATAATGTTTATTTTCTTCGTAGAAGCGTTCCACTACAGGATTTAAACAGTATTTAAGTGAAGATGAAGAGTCCGTTATTCGGATAAGAAGTGGTGAGCTTTATTCAGTAAGCTGTAGTAATATTGCAAATGTAAAATCTTTGAGATGTATTGCGTATGTCAGTCATTCAATTATAGGCAACGTATAATGTGCCACATTTGTGTATTTTTCAACGTTGTTATACAATATCATCGACGAGATTACTAAGACACTAAAGTAGTAAACGTAATGATTATCAGTGGTAGAGGTAAAGATTAGATATAGACAATATAACTCGCGGATTAATAAGATGATTTCGAAACTATTTATTTAAAGACGAAGAATGAATGCATATGCGTCATGGTGACCAATTCTGAACTGTCATTTGTCATAGACTATTGGTTGCGATAATCATGCTGCCTTATTAGCAACTATCATAGATGGTAAATATTTGGCTATTCTCTCTCTATATATACCGTTAAACTATTTTGTTTAAATATAACGGAATCTTGTGTTACTGATGCTTTGTAAAGGCGCGTTTGTGAATCTGTTCAGACTTATTGGGTACTTATAGTCTTACTGGTAATAGTCATTGAAGTTAGAGCAAGCTGTTTCTCACTTCACTGTTTAAACACAAAAGCTGCTTTTGATCCATGAGGATATAACAGTAATTAACGAGAGATCATATACCGCAGATATTAACGGTCTATTCATAACTTCTTGCAATCTAAATATGGTCCTGGAGTATAGTTATTCGTTAGACTGTAATTCAGAGTCTGATAAGCACAACTTCATCAACTTGGAGGAGTTTCCTGCTTTAACGAAATCAAAGCCTATCAAATTCGGCAACGTTGCGTGGAAAAAGCAAGTCGTGCCTACTGAGGATTCGATTGAATCAGAAAGCACTGGGAATGACTGCTTGATTGTCTCTAAAAAGAAGCGCTTGAAGAAAAAAAAGAAACGGGTGGTTGGGAATGAAGAAAGTACCGACGAAAGCTCTCCTATCAAGGATGACGACTGCTGCTTTTTTGTGAGTGAAGACGTAAAAAACACAAGTAAGTCCAGTATTGGTGCACACTTGCGAGAATTATTACAATTCATCTTCACTGTAGCAATTAGTATATCTATACTAGTGTTTTACGCCTATAAAGACTCATGTAGCTTAACCGCTTGGGCTCTAAATTGTGTATGATTCATGCAACAACGCTATTGAAACAGCTTGTCAAACAAAACCTTATATAGATTCACTCTCTCAACTGTTAATTATTTATAAACTGATATTGCGTTAAAAATGTGTCACTCTTGGAGTTATCTGTATTTTGATACAAATAATCGTTTAACCTGATGCGAAGATTGATTTTGAGAATTCTATACTATTTCAGTTCAAATTGGGTTTAGATTTTATTAGCTGCTAGCTCATGTTGGTTATTCAGTTTTTTTTTTAATTTCATATTAATAGCGTTGATTTTTCGCAAGCTATTTCAGGTAACTCAGTTTACAATGATCTGGTAGCAATAACTGAACCGTAGTTTCGAGCCGATTCATGTCATCATACGTTGACATTTTCGGAAGAAATTGTTCCTAATTGCTGCACCCAGAATGTCGTATGTGTGCAAGAACTGAATCAACACCTTATTTTGTATTGCTTCATTTTGTGATATTCCATTTGAAGCTAAATCCAAAAGGTCTATTAAGTTTTTATAATAATATAGATTTCGTGATATCTTTTTCCGTCATCATTCCCCTGATGCATCGTCGCTGATATTTCATTTGTTGGGACCTTGTTCGGTAGAACAGTCAGTGAAATATACTGGTAGTAATCAGCACTAGAACTTTTCACTTTTGTGGTTAAGTCCGTAAGCTCATACTAGCTGCTTGTGACCGAAAGATAACGTCAGTCGGTGGTTGGTGTTGAGCGACATCTCTGAAAATTAATCGCATCGCTGTAAGCTCTTTGCTTCTAGATTCTGAGTTTCAAAACTACGTACTTCTGAGGTCTTAAATCATGTCTTCCCTACCACATCTTGTCTTTTGTGTCCAATCTTCCTCACTTTGGTCCCCCTACTTTTAGCACCACTACCACTGCTGTTGCTAATATTTTGTTTCCTTTTTATATCATATTGACGTCCTGACGTGTGACAAGTTAAAAAAACAAACATACCCAACATTCATAGCTGACTGATGATTCGAAATGCTTGTTACTGACTCCTATTTACATTCTACTTATGTGTTTCCTCATTTGAGATTGTTGGTTTGGAAGACGAAGGTAAAGCTGAGATTATTATACATCATTATGTCAATACTTGGTCGATTACTGCAAGCTCAAAATCTTTTGGTTAACACATCTAGTCATAGTTTCTGGTGTGCGTTCCTATCTGGTTCCCATCACCTTAAATGTTATTCTTAGGTCAAGGGTTAACTGCTTTTCTCTCGGCCTCTTGTGACAATCACAGATGAATCAGTTTGACTAATATAGTGTCTGAATTGTTAGCCTCGTTAATACTTTGACGCCTAACTATAGCTCGTGAAGAGCAGACTCGAGAGAACCAGACTGATCTGAGACGTGGACATGGCTGTATGGACCAGATATTCACAATTCATCAGGTCCTAGAAGACAGACACGCTCAGACGTCCGACAATAGTAGTATTCGTTGAACTTAAGGCGGCATTTGACTCTGTTGATCATGAGACTTTGTGGAGGTGTCTCTCATTGAATGGTGTAGCAAATAGAAACGCTAATCTCATACATGCTTTGTACTCGAACACTGGTCGAATGAGAGTTTATGGCGAACTGCCATCGGAACTGATTACTTCAGGTGGTGTCCATCAGGGATGTCCACTCTCTCCATTCCTGTTTAACTTTGTTGTAGATATGCTTTTAGAGTTAACATTATCATCGTCTGACTCTTCAGGAGTGGACGTTTTACCAGGAGATACGTTTGCTGACTTAGAATATGCGGATGACATATTCCTACTCGGTGAATACGCTGACAAAATTCAGTCTTCTGACTACCCTAAGCAACAATGCAAGAATGTTCGGGATCAATAGATGAAGTATTGAAACTTCATCAGTTGAGGTGGTTGGGATATGTGATACGTATGCATAACCACCGACTGCCTCGAAGAGCTATGTTTTGTTAGGAGTAGGTTGGAAGAAAGTTAGGGGCGGCTAAACCAAAACATGACAGAAATCCATGAAGTCACTGACAAGTGCACTGATTCATGTTCGGTAGATGACAGACAGACATATGTAGGCTACCTAATTGGGGTCCGTGAGACGTGTCATCAATGGTTAGAGACCTTGAACGACATGGCTCAAAATCATTTGCAATGGCGCAGGTGCATCCACTCTTTGTGTTCTCTCTAATTCTAACCTTCTGAATTCCTCATCATCTCTGTCTTTCTCTCTAGATTAATATCACTGAATTATACCTCTCGAATCATAGCTTCGCTCCCTAATCTTCTTCATTACTGCTAATATTACTACTATCGCTACCACTATTGGATTTGAACTGACAGTTGAGTCTTTGTGATAATGCGGTATTGCAACCTTAAATGATGTATATACGTACGAAGTTCTGTGTTGTATCTGTCTGTCTGGGATTAATTACTTTAAGTGGTGTTCTTCCACTATCTCCATTCATATTCAACACTGTCATTGATATGCTTTTAGATATAACACTCATCATCTGATTTCTCGGGAATCGACCTTCTTCAGAGAGTTTCACTTGTTGACTTAGAAATATACCGATGAAATAGTTTTGTTTGGTGAAGAATCTGACAAAATGCAGAGTCTTCTGGCCAGCCTAAGCGAAAATGCTGACCAAAGGACTGGTTTACGTAGAATCAGTTCGCTCCGTCCAACTATACGTGTGTTAAACATGGCCAGTATGAGTAGAGGATATTCGTAGGTTTTTATTATTTTTCTTATATCCTGGGACCCTGGGGTAAGCAATGCTAGTGAAGAAAGCTAGGTGCGGTCAAACGAAAACATGGCACAAATTTATGAAGTCACTGAGAAGTGGACCAGGCCGTGTTGGTATGTGTAGGGTGCCTGGCTGGTGCCCGCGAGACGATAGTAACCGTTAGTTGGAGACTTTGAATGACATGGCTGAAAGTCGTTTGCGATGGCGCAGGTGCATCCATTCCTTGTGTTCTCTCAAATCTTAATCTTCTGAATTCCTTACCACCTTTCTCTTTTTAAGCTTATTTCACTAGATTATGCGTTTTGAATAATATCTTCGAATCTAGTCTTCTCCATTATCGTTAATACTTCTACTGTTTATACTGCTAGGGGGTTCGAATCGACACTTCGATCTCTCTGTGTTGATATGATATGGCATCTTGAACTGATGTACGTACGTACATACGAAGTTCTTCGTTAGCTCACTGACTGACTATTTTTTGACCTATCGAATATATATTTTACCACATAAGTTTAGAGCTGAATTTATGACTTCTTACTATTGTTTTCATTTCTTTGTATAGTAAAAAATGTAAGACAACTGAAAACTTAGTTCTCATTTACTAAGATTTCATCGTAAATACTGATTTTGCGCTACGTGTATGATCAAAATACCAGTTTAATAGTATGGAACAAGCATCGAATTAGTAAGCTCATTACGCTTCAGTAGTCAATAAACACATTTCTAACTGCAAATTCCCCGTGGAAACAAGAAATCAGTCATGACCAAAACAAATGGAAGTCTAAAATAAACTGAGACACGATTTAGTGCCCATAAATAATTGTCCGGATTAGGTCTAAATCACTGAAGCTCTCAGAGGTAGCATCATGTTACGTCATATGGTTTAAGGTAAAATACGTTTGTTGAGGGATAATCGTCATATTTGGTTGTTGCTTAGGCTCACACAATACCATACAGAATAGTGATAACTACATTGATTGGCAGCCATATTTGCGTTAGATATTGGTTTTTGATCTTATCAATATCCCTAGCACTTAATATGTGTTGTAGTTGGTGATAAACTATGATCTCGAGGATAAACTTTTCTTGCCTAGGATTTATTCGCATCATCTATAACTCATTTAGTCCTTGACATTACCACTGGTTCATAAGATATAAATTGTAAAATGCCTTTAGTCTGATCCATTTTTGATGACTTCCTCAGCCTCCCTTATTTTTCAAATCAGTCTAGTGTATTCTATCAGTTATAATCAGTGTTGCTTAGTATCCATGCCTTAACTCGTGTTACCGTGTTAGTCTAGTTCCAAACATTTGCTTATTTCATATTAGTGTCTTAATCTAACGTTATTTGAGACGATTGATAATCATTTGATCAGAGTTTTAAACCTGCTCCAGCTACCTCATTTGGTCAGCCGGCAACCTTTTTTTGGTGTCGCAACAATTATTGTTTTGTATGTACGTTGTTACAAAATGCACTAAATCATCAAAGGAAGTACACTGAAGTACTTCACAGCTTTCGGATGGACTTTTTTGATAATCATTCTCCGTTTGCAAGATACAATTCTGTTTCATGGTTAGATATTGTCACCACTGTTAGACTAATATAGTGTTCTTGTAATATATTTAGTATCTGACAATATGACCAACACACTTGGTACGTATAAACATCATTTTAAGTTGTCCCATGATCACAAAGAGATGGAATTGTCGTGCTAGCAAACTGATTGTGAATCCGAATTAGCCATAATGGATCATTTCCAATTTATGAATATTTATTCCGTTCTAAACATTCAAATACCTTTTGAACTCTTTGAGGGGACCTCGTTGTACTACTGTTTTAACTAGCATTATAGTCCAGTCGGTGTATTCCACGTTGATCAGTAGTATAAAATGAACTTTTAAATCTTTAATTTGTGTTGACTTGCGTATGAAAAAAGACAAGTACCATATTGAAACAGATGTGAAGATCATAGAGATTTATGAATAAGTCATTATCAGATTTCATATGATTCCACTATTGAGTCGAAAACTTGGAAACGCCAAATTCTGGTTCATGATTGTAGTTGGTTTTTTACAAACTCATGGCTCACTGAGGTAAACCGATAGACACATTAACTTTCACCTTCACACAAAATTATATCTGTTAGAGTTGCAACACTTGCAGGTATTACACAGAAAAGCAACAGTCAATCAGTCAGTTACAACGTAGAACTTTGCACGTAAGTATAGCTGTTCAAGTTGCCATATCACATTAGCAGAGATATAATTGTCAATTCAAATCCCATAGTAGTATAGGTAGTAAAAGTATTAGAAGTAATCGGAGAGATTAGGGTTCAAAGATGTCATTCAAGAAGTATTATTCAGTGAGGTAAATTTAGAAAGAGAAAGATAGAGGTGTTGAAGAATTCAGGTTAGAATTTCATAGAACACAAAGGAGTAAATTCACCTGTACCATTGCAAACGATTTTGAGCCATGTCACTCAGGGTCTTAAACTATCAATTATTATTATCTCGCGGGTCCCGACCAGGTAGTCGACACCTACCGACATGACTCAGTCCACTTGTCAGTGACTTCACGGATTTGTGCTATGTTTTGGTCTGGCCGCCCCTAGCACAGACAATCAACATAAGTGCTTAAACTGAGACAAATGTCAATTTTTGTATACGCAAGAAGATATCGTGTCAGACATCACAGTATATTGTATATTATTGTATCCATATTTGTATGATGCTGTTACTTATACTTCATGAATGCTTATATATTAGACATACTACCTGTGGGTGTTTCATCTGCTTAGATAAATTGTAATTGAGCTGCTGTCCTTATTGTTTAATTAGATAACTGAGTTAAATATCGGCTGTTTGAATATTCTTCGATCGAGAAACATCTTACTTTGTATATCTCTGTGTATGTCAGTTTAAAAAACCTTTAGTTTTTTAGGGATAAGTTCGGATTGAAACTTTTGAATAAAAGCCGACAAAAACGTATTATATTGAGTTACAACAGATAACTAAAGTTTTATTTATCTAGGAAAAAAAAGATTGTTGTTGTAAACTTTAGAGGATTTATGTGTTCAATCTTCGTTCGTTCGAATAATACATTTTATTGTTGTGTAAACTGTTCAATCAGCCGTATATTTTTTGTATTTTATTAACAGAAATGCATCAATCGTCGTTTCGTAAAACCCATTTCGAATTCATAAAAAAGTGAGTGCAAAGTAAACATTTTGTACTAGCAGTATACTTAGCATACATGACTCTCACTCACTGTTAGCATAAGTTGACGGAACAAATATTAATGTTTTGATGTGACGTTTACGTCGCCTTTCAACAGCAAAACTTAAAATAAAAGATCGCTTTTTTACCCTATGCTTTATTCCCGAACTCAGTTGAAACAAAAGGAAGCTTATGCGGTTGTTTTACTTTAGTCTAGCTAATGTGCGCTAATAAATAATAGCAGACTGGAGAAACATAGTCAATACTATGTATAATCGTGAATTAGAATATAGTCCCTTTACTGCACCTTTATTGAAGCATTATACCAAACAGGCCCATTTTAGGTAGAACATTAAGGCACAAATTAGAGTGGATTGTTTTCATGTCAATAACTTCTGTAGTTGGGTGCGATGCAGTAGTATTAATTCTCCATATGAATATTCTTTACAACCAATAAGGTACACAGAAATATTGCGTTATGTATCGCCTGCTCAATATTTATTAATCCAACTTGACATTTTTGCTGGTGATTACTGTCAGAGTTTTATCTATACTCTTCAAAAGATAATTGCAGTATCTTGAAAAACCGCTGCTGTGTCTATAGTTTGTGCTTTTCAAGTGATAATTTCGTGCTCACTTTCTTTTCTGAATCCAACGCACCATGTTGATAATCGCATATGCAGATAATAGTCTGTTTAATTCCTTAATTCTGATATCAGGATCTTAGTTTTTACTATATTCACTCATTTTACTACTACTTATTTCTTCGAATATCATCTAGTTACTAGTTGTAGCTCCTCATATTATCTAAACAGAGAATATTAATTTTTATTTAGTTGGAAAATAAAATTTGTTTCACGTGGAATTTAATTTCTCACCGGCATGTTAGAAGTAAGGGCAAAACCAATCCTAGGTATACTTTGCGCGACAAAATCTACACTTAGCACCAGTTCTGTACATTTTGATTTGTCTAATCAAATACAGTTTTCCTATCTTATCATTGCGCGCACCTAATGACGTAGATTGTTTCTAAAATTTAACAATTTTAAAATATTGCACCATATGTCTGTGAACAGATTCGTATTTTATCTACTGTATACGTATTTTTATAAACAAAGAAACGGGAAAAATTTTGGAGTTCTCCCTGTGAATAATTATTGATATGTATCTCATACGTTGCAATAACCTAGAACGTAGATATTTTTCATTTCTTATTGGTTATGTCTAAACCTTAACCTGAATATCGGAGATGGCTATCAGGTGACTATTTTATTCAGTTTATGTCTGTTCGTCCATCGATCTTAATCTAGTAATAAGATGTTTTTTATTTAGGCAACTTCGTCACCTACTGTCAGACAAGGTTTGTGTAAATTCATTTTTTATGGATTTTTATGACATGCCATGGTTACGGCGAAAAAAGAAGGTAAATGGAGTGGCTAAACTATGTGACTGCCTATAAAATGTTTTGAGAGTCTAAACTCTAAAATAATTATACCTCACACATGAAGTCAATCAATTATGTACAACATAGGACACAGATGTTTCTAGACTACAATGACGATAGGTATACCGAACGTAGTTGACAGAGCAAAGTAATTTGGAGGATAAAATTCATGAAGTGCTAATGTAAATTCAGAATTTAGGTATAAACTGAATACATATGTTAATGAGCCTGATTTAAAGTTGTCTCATCAAATGTCTCTGACCAAGAAGTTTGAAATCCCATTAAAACCTCAGATCAGCATTGGATGACGTCACAAACTGATGGCACCAGTTTGATCGTCATTAGCTTCATTTCAACTTACAACTATTATATTAGCCTATATTACGCATAATTTGGCTGTGGCTGGACATGCGTAGCATGTATTCAAACCACTGCAGTCAATGAAAACTGGCAACTTCAACATAATTTTATTGGTTCCACCATAAGTAAGCAGTGTTTCGAACATACCTGTTGTTAGATAGTCGTAACCTACATGTTTCTTCCATCAACCTTTTCACAACCAAAAATTTGTTTAAAGTAAGCTTCTACATAATGTAATCTCCATCTAGTCGAAATGACTACGAACCGACAACCAAGATGGTTTGTGGGTTGTATGTGTGGACAGACTGTTAATAAAGTTGTAAAACAAAGCATGCCAAGCAACTTGATGTTGTGACACTTAATGTTCTGTTCAGTAAATTTATGAGCCAATTAAACCCAACCATACAGTGGATATATTATTGTTAAAATCACTCACAGTTCAACTTCTTTTCCAATCTACTTGGACGTTGATTTCGGAGTATAGCTTCGACACTAGTAAAACTTTCCATTTAAAAATAAGTAGGAATGTATACATAAATCTGACAGCTAACTAATACCCGTGGACATACTCGTACAAAATTTCCTATGTAACGTGATAATAATTCAAATCATTTTTTGTTTACATTCCCAGTCAGTCCGAATCGGACGCAATAACAACCAATGCAGATAGTCATTTAACGGAATCTTCGATTTTTGAAGTTGCAAATCCGTTTCAAGTGGAAGATGAAGGTTTCGCTGAGGAGTTAACTGACTGTGCAACTAACCATCATCATTCTCTTCCCACAAATGCATCACATATTTTGTCATCTGGTTCCATTCAGGATTCACTTCAATCTAAACCTGTTTACGAATCACAAAGAATTAATCCTTCTTGTCCGCTAAACCTCACAAAAGATGAAATGGTTGTACTTGGGTCAAATCACTCTGCATCCAATGCTGTAAAATTCCTTACAAATTCTATTAAAGTGAGTAAATTGCCGACATCGTTTTTTGATCTCGTGGTTTAATTACTTCACCAGGAAACAACCATTTGTTTGATTGATAACCTGTATATTAGTATGGGATTGTCAACTCTGTTTGAGACATTGTGTCTGTGAGGTTTCATCTATTAAATAACCTTGAAAAATAAATTTAGATTAACTACAGTGTTGAATTACAGTTTTTAACATCCAGTAGTTATAATTGTTAGCTGTTTTTCGCAGTTTCGGTTCCCTGTAACATTGTGTGTTAGTTTTTATTGGCTGTTACACAACCGTGCTACTTGCGTTGTTACTGTATTTTGTTATCACGTCAGTACATTTAAAGCTTGTTCCTGATTTAATTTGTTAATTTATCATAAAAAAAACTTCAAAGGACTCGCTTAATTTGTATCCACATTCTATTTTGAGATGTGTCATCTATCCCTGATAATAAAATACACAATATTCATAATTGTCGAAAGACTAATGTACACAAATGAGAAGTTCCTTACTTTCTGCTTGCATAAGTGAACTAAGTATCACTGTCAGTTTGTTGATAGGTGCCTTACCCACCATGATGATTACGGATATTAGGGTTCGATTCCGGGGAAGGACCTGCGGAATGGCTACCACATCTAAGGACGACAGCAGGCGCGAAAATTACCCACTCCTGGCACGAGGAGGTAGTGACAAAAAATATGGACATGGGACTCAATTGACGCTCCGTAATTCGTTTGAGTATAATTTAAATCACTGGACTTATTGATAAGAGATGGGTTTATTGAAAATCTTCCGTAGAATGCTAACTCTGAAGGTAAAAAAGGCTAGAATTCCATTCCTTGATAAAATCATTTGTTAAGGTTAGGTCATGTGATTAACTATCCCACTAACCATTCAATAAATGACTTGCTCGTACATAACACCAATTTATCAAAAATTAATTCTAGTTTAGTTGTTCAGGAAATTCATAGTCACGCTACTCAGATGCTACCATATTAATAAATTTTAAAGCTTTAAGATCCTGTGTGTTACTTCGTGTTGAATTGCATTCCCGAATTTGAATGCTTGAGAATTGTCGGTAGTGGTTATAAATGGTCAGATATTATTTGGTTACAATAGCCAATTACATAATTTCGATAGGTCACTTTGAATTTTTTATTGTTCTAAGAATTTCCAGTTGAATATACCGAAAATAACACCAAGTTCATATCATTTTGAGAAGTATTCCGTTTACTACATTCCTGATGATATATTTGTTTAATTTTCTTTCCCGTCACAGTACCCTGTTAAAGAAAAGACATCGAGAAACGTACGGCTAACTAATTCGGAACAATATGCTCGGAGTATAAGTCCATCTAATTTTATTGACACTCATCTATCTTCAAAGGATACAAATGATCTTATCGATGAAGATGATATGGAGGGTACAGATCTACTTCATTTAATTAGCAACTCGTTGGATCGATTTAATGCTATTGTTCACCCACGAGATAATTTATCAACATTAACATCTGGTTTAGGCGAATCTACAAATATTCTATCAGAATCTAGTAGTAGAAATAGTTATTCTCAAGACTGTTTGTTTCCAAATGATATTGTCACAAAGCGCATGATCATATTACCTACAGATAAAGTGAGTTTCTATAGGTTGTTTGTTATTATTATTCAGTAGTGGTAGTAGTAGTTGTTGTTGTAGTAACAGTATAATTTTCCCTTGTCAACTTGTTCCTTAAAGGTATAATGTAACTAGAAAAACTACATTTACTCACCATTAACCTGATTCCTAGTATCTTGAATTCTGTTGCAATGTCATTCAGCTCTTAATTTGTTCAGGTGTCATCATAGGTCCTCTTAGATTTAGAGTGTGATTATTAGCTAAGTACATAAACGTATGTATATAAAGCGTGAATTAGTCACTTGAGAATTTACTGCAGCTAAATTATCCAACCATTAAAATTGAGTGACTGTCATGCGATATAATTCCATTCATTCCGAGAGAAATTCGTACTGCGCTGATTCGACAACTGAAGTTGCAAATTCTAGTAATGTATTTCTTATTTTGAGTTTTGAAGTATGGTGCATTATTTATTCGCTTCCCTTGTCAATCTGCTAAAATAAATATCAGGGAGATTCTCACCGTTTGTTCATCAAAATAACGTTTCAGCCTGATAAATGGGTTAAAAAATTTTTAGTAGATAAGTAACCCTTTTTGACTATTAAATACATCTTCCATTTGTTACAGAAAGAAACAAGTTTGTCTTCTGGCCTTGATAATTAGGTGAAAACAGGTTTACTACTGAGTTAGAATTCTATGTAATTCGCGTTTCGGTATCAGTAGTCTGTTAATTTCACCATACTTTAATATGTTGTAGTTATACGAGTTTTGACATAATTAAATACATGCAACTAATTTGTATAGTTGGTTATCTAATTGCGATTCAAGAGACTCGTAAATTAAATTTGTGGTTTGAAAAATTTCAATATTTGATGTCAACATTGGTTGCTTATTCGCTACGTTTCCTGATGAAACGAGTGAATTCATAATTAGTGGGTAGACGGTCTATCACCGAAGGGGGAACCAAAAAGTACATTAACTAACTAGAGGATTTTTTTAGATAGGATATGTAGCTCCGGTTGTTGGAAAGGCAAACAAAGTACTTGCTTGTCCAACGGCTTTATGTAACACAGAGAAGTATTTCTTTTGGACTAGTACTCTCCGTTGCATAGCCTAACCACCACTCATTCATTTAAGCCTGTTGCCACTAATGTGGAATAGACTATTCTCCATGAATCTCCAGCCAACTATTTTTGTCGTTCTCCTTTCCGGCTATTGCTAACTTTCATTCATGGTCTTCATATCTGTGTTTAGTTCCCGGCATTATGTGCTCTTTGGTGTACCTCTTCGCTTCTTACTTTAAGGAGTTCAAGTTGGGGTTTACTTTGCGATGCAGTCTGATGATTCGCGCAGTGTTCTATCCACTTTAAGCGTCCTTTCTTAAATTCTTCATTGATCGGTTGTTTCCAATGGTGAATAAATCTGAAGTATCTTGCACAGACAGCTGTTTGTAAATATTTGTGTCTTCTTGGTGATGGCTGTGGTAGTCATCATCGTTTTGAATTCATACTATAGAACTGTTTCAATGTTGAAAATTGATTTTGGTATTGTGTAACAGTTCTTTTGGATCCAGATACTCTTCAATTGTACGTATGTTGTTCCTGCTTTATCAACTGGTACCTTAGAATCTGCATCAGATACTCTTTGTTGCCCAATAATGCAAAGGTCTCCAGTTGTTCCAGAGCTTCGCCATTGTGAGTCGGTTGATACATGCTGTGTTGTTTTACAAGGTCTTGTAAAAAATGCGCCCTACTTCTGTACAGTGATGAGTTTCATCCAATCGATGGATTCTTGTTTTCCACTTCTTGAATCTTGTCCGAGCTGTCTAGAGGGATTCACTCTTTTTTTGGTGTTAATTGTGGCCAGCACCTCCCGTTATGTGGAAGTTGTTGCCTTTTCAATGCTTTTACAATCTTGCTTCACAATGGTTCCTTCTTCTTCCTAAGGAACTCGTGAGACTGTGAAGTTCTTGTTGAGGGCTATGTTGAACTCTCTGAGCTTGTCAACATCTTGGAGGACGGTATTAAACTTCTGTAGTGTTGTTTATCTAACTCTCGAATGCTTTCTCTTCAATTTTGTACAATCACTATTACACTTTCCATGAACAGTCTGATTACTTTTTATCATTTCTCTTTTGGAGGATCAAGTTTTCTGTAGTGTTATCATGTGAAACCCATGTAGATTTGTGTATGCATTTGTAGGGGAAAATGGTGTCTCCCATAACCATGTTGTTGAAAACCAATAGGTTTACTAGTTTCTCTTTCCTTTCTCCAAGTCCGTGTTGCTTGATAACAAATTCATACCTGGTTTTATCCATCAGAATGAGCAGGTGTGTTGTTGATGAGTTACATGGGATGGGCTCTTTCCTTAGACATAGTTGTTGTTCATCATCTTTGTTGTCATCATTCGTGGGTGCGTAACATTGACCTACATTCATTGTAATATTTTCCACATTTGATTTGAAGAGTAATTTGTTGTTCGTGGAACTGTGAGTATCATATTTTTTGAGCGCTTCGTATGGTTCACTAGACGGGGTTAGTACAACTCCTCGTGTACGTGGCACACTTTCTCCTTCGTATCAAGAATATGAGTGAATCTTTTTTGTCTTTGCGTCTGTGTTTCACTTATTCTAAAGAGAGCCAGGTTGTATCTTATTTCCGTTGCTAGTTGAATGGCCCTCTCAGTTTAAACGCGCTCAAGCTGGAATTCTAGCCGTATTATAAGGGTTGCATTATGGGTGTCAACGACGTAATTATTTTGAAGTCTCATTTCTCATGGAAGGGTCATTGAATAACAAACTCCATCGAACATATAACGCCTAACTTTTGTCAATATACTTTGTCTTTGACACAGGTGAGATGTACGTCTACCTGACTTAGTGGATGCTTTATACTAATAAAAAACAACTTTTCAAAGAAATGAGCGACATTAAACCTTAGGTCAATAGGTATAATTCTTCCAGATACCGGACTATAGCTGCAACGTCGATGTGATGGCCGGGTTCGCCTACCTTCATGACGTAGCCGAACTATATTGTCTGGAACATATGTTCCTTTAGGCCTTAACATACGAGGCAGGTCGATTGGTGAATAAAAGCAGCAACTCAATGTCTAAGGGAAAAGTCTTACTGCCGACAGTAGAGGGGTGTGCCAGCAGTAAGGTGTTTCCCTGGGACAACCAACGTCTGCAGAGATGCTGCCTTCTTACAAGGAAGGAAGCGGTTTCAATACTTCATTTGTTGATTTGCCTACTGTGTCACTGAAGAAAAATGAAGGTAGTTCAGTAAAAAATTTCTTCTCGACTATTTCATTTACTTAAGTCGTATATTCTTATTTACTATTTTGGCAAATTAAATTAACTACAAATGCGATTTTAAATAAAATCGTCGAAAAGAAAAGTTTGCTGAACTGACTTCTTTTTTACTCTCAGGGTGTTGAACTGTTATTCAACTATTCTACATTTTATAATGAATTACAGAATATATGTCCATGATATTGTATTTCGTTTATGTATTCCTTTACCTACAATTTATCATTATGATATGATTATAGTTAAGTTACTTACTTACACCTTCTGCCCCCAATGGAGCATAGGCCACCGACTAGCATTCTACAACCTACTCTGTCATGTGTCTTCGCTTCCACTTCCATCCAATCTCTGTTCATTATCCCGATGTCTGTCTCCGTTCCTCGGAGTGATGTTTCTTCGGTCTTCCTCTTTCCCTTTGGCCTTGACGAGTCCAAGTTGGGGCTTGCTCAATGTCTGTCCTATCCACTCCCAGCTCTTCTTCCTGATTTCTTCGTCAGATAGAATCTGGTGTGCTTTCTTCCATAGTAGGTTGTTACTGTTGGTGTCTGGCCAACGGTTCCACATTATCTTATGTACAAAACTCATCGTAAACACTTGTATCTTGTGGATGGTGGCTTTTGTAGTTTGCCAAGTTTCCGCTCCATATAATTTGACTGTTTCGACGTTTCTGTTGAAAATTCCGACTTCGATATTTCACGTTGACGTTTTTGTAAATTATAATTTTTTCTTAATTTTAGTTTATTCTAAACATCATAAATTTATGCTCCAAGACCATGTTCGCTCGTCAATCTCTTTCTTAATTTCTCAGTTGATGAAAATGTGTTTTATTGTGTACCCATGAAAATCTTTCTACTTACTTTGTTAGCATAATGATTGCTGTTTTCTATTCTGCTTTTGGACATAGCTTTATTTCAAAATGTTTTATTCTTCTGCTTTGTGTTGTTGACCTTACGTCTATGCATACATACCTAGTCTCTTTATTCACCTGGCATACACAAACAGATGACCTTAAGTGACCTAAATACAAGGTCTTTGTTTATTCCCTATCTCACTCCTAAACAGTTTTTCTTCCTTTCCTATCCTCTTCTAAAAATACATAAAATTTAGACCAGACTGAATTTATAATCATCTAAACTGAAAACGTTCTATCTCTAGGTGATTTTGTGTATATGTGAATTAAACTAACTTAAGCTTTGTTTAAAGGTTAACTGGTCTTTGTCAATTTTATTCCATTGTTCTGTTTTAAATCCCTGTAAAAATTATATGAAACAAACCAATTTACAGTATTACACTTGTCAATTTATTTGTTTTTCAATGTATCCTTCATACATTAATAAAAATAATCAGGTATTATAACTCTGATTTTTGTGTACAAGAGATGAGTCCACATAAAATTGATTGTTATTTCTTATGTTTTCTATTTTAGGAATATAAACTGTCCAATATGATGAATGTAGTTAATAAATTAGCTCCGAAACATTTTGATCGTTCATCGTTATTATCGTTGAATTGTGAAATAGAACAAGCCGATAAACTTATGCGAACAAATAATTCTTTATATACCACAAGGTAATTTAGTCAGATGAATTCATCTTATCATTTCAATTAATAATGTTATATTGTTGAATTATAACTGTTTGATTATGAATTTCTTTCTACTAAAAATAAGTAGTGTTTCTTGTCTTTTCATTGATGTAATTTTTTTTTTCCGTATTGATATAAATCTTTTTATAATATAAAATCATTTCTACAATTGTATAAATGAACTACACTTTAATTGTATGTAGTTATCGATGTGAATTTAAATTATTTTAAGTAAACCGTTTTTACACCATAATGTGTTGTATCAACTTTTTCGGTTCTTATTGCAAGTATTGACCGAAGTGTAATTCTTACTCACTTCTGTGAGATCATTTCCAATCCCATATCCTTTTAAATTTTGTTCTCAACTAAGTTTCATGTTGAAATAGCTGTTGAATAGATCCTTGAAATATATCACCGTCTTATCAGTGTACACATCATCGTCATCATGAACTCTTATTTACATCTTTATCACTGTTCACTTATTGATCTCATTCATTCTTTTACTCATTATTTAATGTTATCATTATTGTTGATAATGTTTACTTTTGAGTTGTATATTCTGATACAAGAATTTTCCTTATCATTCTGAATAATGTTAACATTCATTTCAAACAAATTTGGTATGGTTGTTATAGTGTCTTAGTTTAAATGACTCCATACAGGAAACACTTTATTAAGATATTTATCATTTTTAATTATTCACTTATTTATGAGTATTACAAAATATTCAAGAGGAACGAGGAGATAGGTGATTGATTCTTTTTTTTTCTCACTGCTTGTTTGTCTTGTTGTTATGTGGTCACTAGAAGTAAGGTTCTAATTTTCCAATCATTATGAGTATATGTCCAGTGATTGTCTTTACCATTGTTATTTATATTTTAGTCTATCGTTTGTAATATAATTGTCCCTGACATATATTTGCTTACATATCTAATGGTTGATGATGACATTTCTATTTGTAATAAGTAGTTTCTTTTAAAAAAAATATTGTGTATGCTATTATAACTAATAAAAAGTAGTGTTGAATAAATTGACCTGTAATCGAGTCCAGATGTGTACGGTACACTGTTTTGAAGCATATTTTCACGTGTAGAAACTAGTAATACCATATAGTTTTACTGATAAAAGTTTAGTCGTTAAATCACCTAAAGTATGACCACTGGTTTGGATTTGACTCCCTCTCCCACTGTTTTAGTTATTTGTAGCTTCCTTGCAAAATAATTTGACTAAAAGTCAAGTGAGCATATACACTTGATGAATAAGTAATACATAAGTTATTTTGAAATTTGAAATCATTAATCAATCATCATTGTTAGACCACCATTAGAAACCTGGAAGCACTGGACGGCCGTTTCGTCCTAGTATGGGACTCCTCAGCAGTGCACATCCACGACTCCTGCTCCTCGCAGGATTCGAACCCGGGACCTTTGGCATTGTAGGCGAACGCCTTACCATCGGACCACTGGGCCGGCATCCAACGGTGTTAATGTCTAACTCTGATTGATCTAGGGATTTTGCGCGACCTCACCCATTTGTCTTTGGTAGTTACTGCCTACACCCGACAGGGTTGAACTCCACTGGTCACGTCTTCTCAACTATTATTATCTGTTTGATGATGTACATATGCATTGGTGTTTTGGTTTAAAATTTAACTATCGTCATCATTTGATTGTTTATCTTAGATTTTTGCATTTAAAAAATGTAAATGGTATACAAGTAGGTCGCTCGTTAAAATTCGAAACTATCGATGTAAATAAATCTGAATGATGTATACCTTCAAAACAAACTTAATGAATTTTAAAGCGTTACGAAAGAGACAATATTAACATACATCTATGCTCATGAAATAGTAAAATAATAGTAATAATTAGATGAAATTAAACTCCTGTCGTGTTGAAACATATTCAATGTGTATTTTTGTTGTTTAGTTTCGTTTATAGAAAAATGGCGTAAACTATGGTAGTAATATTATTGATTTTTTGCTTGATAATGATTCTTAATAATAAATAATACACTAATTTTAAATTGTTAAACAATTGTTGAATTCTACATTAAATCAACCGTATATAAAAGAATTAAATAGTTTTTCCTTTTTTTCGTCTCTAGTTGCTCATCTTTTGGGCGTTTACCTCTATCATTATCGTATTCATACTCAAACGAGGTAAGAGAAAAAATCTGTCTTTATTTCCTATCATTTTTCATTCACAGTTGCGTTTAAACTCTTTGTTTCTAATGTATACGCACTAATTATCAAAAAATCTCGAAAATTAAACACTTATGTTACATGATATAATAAGTTATACTATGGTATATATATATATATATCACATGTGTTTTTTTTACAGGTCCCTATAATTTCTTCTCAACCGAATACAACTTACTACAATATTTCGTCAACCGTACCAATGGATGCTACTGCTCCTACTGTCACCAATTATATTGTTCCACCAACCACTTCTATACAGTCAAGCAGTTCTCTTACAGATACGTCGAAATCCTGCTGGCCAAATTTACCTGGCGGTGGGACTCAGCATAATCCAAAAGTGTTAACTCCATCCATAGAACCAAACAACTTACTTATTGAGTTAATCAATAATAATCGAAATATGTTAACTGATAATGATATAGAAATGTTAAATTATTTAAACTTGGATTTAAAGAATCTATTATGTAGTGTTTCGACTAGTAAAACCACTCCTACAACTGTTGCTTGTACAAATTCGATCGGTGTTTCTTCTCTTCATCATAGTAGTAGTGGTAATAATAAATGCAACTCGGATTTATTTGTTAATCAAGATGAAAATCTATGGAATCATAGTAAATCATTTCAATCCAATATGTTGTTAATGCATAAGACACAACTATTGAGAAATTCATCTCAATTACCTAATACAACTGCTGTACCGTCATTATCATCGAAAATATTGCTGCAACAGTCTAATGCTGCGTCATCAACTCCCGTTGATATGATGAAATATGAATGTGTAAACAATGATCCAGAAAAATTACTTATGAATTCATCGGATAAGATAATATTCAATACAAAATGTATTAATAACAAACTTAATGATAATTTCCTCACATCGTTCTCATTGATATCAGTAAATAATTCTACTGAATGGTCGACAGGTATGACATTAGTTTTTAATATTGTGTTTTTTTTGTGTAAGTGTATTACCTGCTTATATATTAAATAATAATGGTTAGTTTTTCTTGACTGACACTGTCAAATAATTAATATTCAGTCTTCTACTAAGTTCGTTCTTTTTGTATGGACATCTATGTCATTTTAACAGTCTTTAGTTATACTAATAGCAGCTTGAACTAAGTATTAAGGTAGATGTTGGTCATTCAAGCCGAAATAGATAAGCGGATGCTTGGTGTTACGATGCTGTGATTCATTTTTACAATATTTATTTGGTGTTTTAAACATTGTAGTCGGATTGTAAGCCAAATAATAAGCGGGACTCCTGAGGTTTGAAAAACTGGGTGGTACAATTTTGCAGTCTAATACCACATTCATTCAATGCTAATTTGTAAAGCTTTGATCTGATAGCGAAAGGAAATCGTGAAGAGGAACTATACTGTGTTAGACAAAATGATTCATTCATCAAAAGTAATGCTTTTGCGTAGGCTTTTTCGTCTAGATTATCATAGAATATAACCGTACTATGAAGATATGGTGATTACGTTAACTATAACTCGAAGAAAGTAATCATTTATCTTTCCTAATATCAACAACCTACTAACTGAACTATACCACTAGACCACCCGTGTTTTTTAAGTAATGTAAATATTTTAACTTTAATATCACTGGTTGTCTGAAGTTAAAAATATAAACTAGTGGTTAACGACCTACTGGTCTAAAGGGTATTGAGGGTCCTACTTGCTTTCCATAATAAAGTCGTGGGTAACCTGATACTCGGAGGTCGTATACTATAACGCAACAGCTATTTATTCCTTGATAAAAATTAAAGAGATGAATATAAACTTATTAGAAGTGATTTTAATATCTTCGATGATAAAGAAATAGATTAACGTTAGAATATATGGCTTGAGAAGAGGGAGTGAATTCACAGGATAAGAATTATGAAGTATTATCAAAACTCAGGATCTAACAGCAGACCGATTTAATACAATGTCTCAAACCATTGCGATTAATAAACATACTATTGTTCACTGTCTGTTAAATATCACTAAATCAACCATTTGTTTATTTTCGTTCAGCAACAATTAATAGCCTACCATGCGATACAAGAAATATATTAGCACAGTCGCATTCAGTCGATTACCATTCAGATATACCTGTTAATACATCACTACCTACAGTAACGCCAGGAGTAACAATGACAACATCATGCCCTATCAATCATACACCGTCGATAAGTAACGTGAATTTTCCATTTAAAACTGGAAATCTAAATACAAACCGCCTACCTATTATTGGACATTCTACATCTACTTCTGGTAAAAATAAAATGACATTCGGAAGCTTACCACTACCAATGTGTACTACTAACTCAACAGTAAATAATTTAAACGGATTGCAGCAACAGGAGGTTTGTTATTTCCCTGATTTATTTTTCCTTCTTAAAATTGAGATAGATGTTTTTGTTTCTTATTGTTGTCTAAATACTTTTATCTTTTCAGAAAGATCTCTTTTAACCCGTTGTTGTATGTTTTCTTTGTGGAATTCGTTTTTGTACTTTTATTTTTGACAGAAAATGTAATTAATACTTCTTGATCATTAAAGTAAGCTAGGTTACATTAGTTTCTAAATGAGCGATGGTACCTCCTTTTTGCGACGAGTCCAACGTACCATGAAGCAGTCAGTCAATTACAACGTGGAACTTCGTACATGAGTACATAAGTTCAGGTTGCCATACTGACCGTAGCTACTACCTTGACGTGGTGGTCGGGCTTGCCTATCGGGATGACCCAACCGAGCTATATTGACTGGAAACTATGTTCCTTTAGGTCGTACCATTCCAGACAGGTCACTTGGAGAACGAAGAGACTAAAAGCAGCTACTGAAGGGCTGAGGGCGAAGTCGTACTGCTGACTGCAGATGGGGGGTGACAGTAGTAAGGTGTTTCCCTCTGATAACCAGCATCTGCAGCGATGCTGCCTTCTCACAAGGAAGGAAGGGTTAGAAAAGGTCAACCCTTAGCTTGCCGCACGGATTTCCGTCTCTGGCGGTAAATCCTTCAGAACAAGAAGGGAGCTACCACTTTAAAAACTACCCATAAGAAGGCCGTGCGTGATTGGCTACAGGCAGTAGTCCCTTGGGCTCTTCGGTCACTCTCCCAGGTCATTAAGACGAACGCCAATCTACCTTCCTTTTCAGGTTCCTCGAGAAACACCCTCCCTCGGTGTAGGCAGCCGGAAAGTGACAACCGACCTCATACCCGGAACAGCACACGAGATCGAATCGGTCACAATCAGATTCTTCCTATACCCCGTAACATTTCTCATATCTCCACCAGTAACTCTTTTCACATTCATCTATCACCCCTTACCGCTAATGCAAACGATGCGAATTCACGTACCGTGAAGCTCTAGTGTGTAGTTGGTTGTCGACTATTCATAACCACCTGACACCAAAACAAAGTGTACACGATATCCAAGTCATTCATTCTTGTGATCACACTACACTTTGATCGATTAATTCCTGTCAATACCGAAAGATCGGGCAAACAGTATTGGACACCACTTAGTAATCTATCAGTACGTATGCATGTGACACTGTATCAATATAATTAGATGGGTCTATGTAAATGAATACCTCATTGGGTTTTTTGTATAATTTCAATCTCCAAATTTTCACTAGTAAGTATCATTTCAATGATAAGATCATAGCTGTAAAATGTTGCTTACACTTTTTGTATGATAATCTCTTCAATATTAGGTGTTGTTTGTTGAATTTTTTAAATCGAAATGAATCAATCAAATTTTAGGAATTTTTTTACCATGACACCACCTTTCATGTTTATGCTCATGTTATTATCACACCATATAAAATTTGCTTATTAGATTATTCTTGCGACAAATAAACGATTCACATGATGAATCTTATGATTATTTTACTTAGCAATAAAAGACTAATGAAACTGATTTGTACTATTCAACAATTCATATTTATACACTACATAGTGAATTCCAATATTATTTTTATTTGGAAATACAGCATTTAATTAATGAAAAATAGCTAAACTGCATTCAACTTATTAATATTTAGACATACTATTTTACTTTTTAAGCATATCTTTGTGAATGTCTTTCATTAAAATTACTTGACTTTGGAGAATGCTTGCTCGCTTCTATAAAGTGTTACTTTTGTGCATAGACTGTATTTGAGTTACCGAAATTTGTTCATTCTGTATTATGTTTTAAGTCGTAGTCGATATCTTATTTGTGTTCGATTCAAATGGTATTATGGGGCTTGATGGCATGAATAAGTGGAGTTTTCAGTGTTCACATTAGTTTATCTACCATTCGAAAATTAATTGAATGGTAGAAAATCATATTTACGCTCCCCAATCTTCTCCATTACTGCTAATAATTCTACTATCGCTATCACTCTTGGATTTGAACTGACAGTTACGTCTCTGTGCTGACGTGGTATGGCAACCTGAAGTGATGTACTTTTATGTACGAAGTTCTGCGTTGTATCTGTCTGTCTGTAACATTATAGTATGTAATGAGGATAATACACTTAATTTGATTTAATTTTTCATTTGTTTACTGAAAATCACAAAATTTTCAGTTATATTTCCTACCTATTTGATTGTGAACTGAAATTATCACAGGATAATTTCAAGTGTGATTTCTGATAAACAAAATCTCTGAATTAAAATTCGATTCTCAAAAATATCATAATATTTATTTCATTAGCATAGAATGTCCACCACAATGAGATACTTTATGTGACCTGTCTAACTTCTATAAAATTCTGTTTATCAACACTGTTTTTTTTGGATATTTGTTGAATAGATTATTTTCTAAAGATTTTTAATTATTTATACTTTTGATTTTTACAGGGACTTCGCAATGCTCATTGTAGACGACAAAACAACAATAATATTAATATGCCTTCAAACATTGGCAATAGTTCAGTTTGTTCAATGACTACTTTAACTTCAACAAAACAAGTAGGTCTGATGAATCCGAATTCTCAACTATCATGTAATAAATCACGTTTTTGTACAAATGGTCAAATGACATCAGCAGCGGTGACAACAACAACAACAGATTCATCATTATCATCGTTATACCCTGGTACAGAATTAGTCAATGGAAAACCAGTTGTCGCTAAATGGCGTCGTGCATGTAGTTTCTACTTACGTGGACATTGTAAAAAAGAAGATTGTGAATTCGCGCATGATTTAACTAAAGTGACTTGCAAATTTTGGGAAATGGGTGAATGTTTCAAAGGATCCACCTGTCCATTTCTACACGGTTATCCACCGGAACTGAATATTGAGCTGCAGCAGTCATAAGTAATAAACTGAAATATTTGTTTGTCTATGTGGGCAGCCTTAGTGTGTTCATTTCTTATTTCTTTCTACGTAACAAGTTTATCATTCTATACTATTGCTTACTTTCACCAAAGAAAAGAAACTTTTTAAGTGAATATTTAAGTGAAAACATGAACAAAACAACGACATAATTCTTATTTAACTGCATTTTGTATGTGTTTTTTGTTGTTATCTCTTATGCTAATCTGTTTTGTTCTTACTTCACATATTTTATGTATGGTGTCTATTTTTATCAGAGATAAGCTCAAATCAAAAGCTCTGTCTCTTTCTCTCTCTCACTGATTGATCGTCGTATTATTCTGTTATTATGGTACTGGAAGAGAAACAAAAGGCGAACACTTTTACGCCTTATTCATAATTAAGATTTTTGTTGCCATTAGTATTACCGTTATATTAACATAATTACTACGATTATCATTTGTTTTACTCTTATTAATTTTCTCTAACTTAAAAAACAAATTTATGAAATGGCTGCTATTCTTCTTGTTTAATCGACTTGAAGAAAACCAGCTTACTCTTCAATATGTATTGGAATTGAATGGCGCAATATTCTACGAATCATACAATCTACATTCTAAATTTGTTACTAATCTGATTTTTATGTCTATATTATGTGTAACGTATTAATTTATTTCAAATTTGATATTCTCTTTTTTGTATTTGTTTACTGATATTCATATGCCCGATATTAAACACAGCTACAGTTGGCTTGTCTCTTTTTTTCTTTTAAGTTTCTCAACGTAGACAATTTTTTTATCTTGTTTTTTTTTACTGTTTTGCTTTCTTTTCCCAAATTCGTACTTTCTTATTTTGTACTAATAATTTTTCTAATCTATTGGTAGTACAATTGCCAACTTCAACTACAATAATATGGATTATCCGTTTTTTTCTTCGCATTCAGATGGAAATACAGTTTCACTGCTTGTTGTTCAACAATGTCGGTGGTTTAACGATAGTAGCGCAAACATGATGGTATATATGGTTTCATGACTGTTGGTTTCCGATTTTGATTTGTGCCTCTTCTAAAACTTCCGATACACATATGTATTCATTCGTCAATTCTATGGAAAACATTTATGGCTTTTTTTTTATTTTTACACTGTAAGGAAAAAGCATGTACCCTCATTTATTTATTGTCTACATTTTTCGTTTTGTGGATAAATTTGAATCAGGGTAGTAACAAAACGGGAATCAATAAATAAAATTTTTATTTTCAGGTAGAATGCAATGATTTTAAATAATATTACTGGATTTTTTTTCCTTTTTTGTACATGTACACATTATTGAGGCATATGAATTCTGTTCTCTCACTCGTTTGCATACAAAATTGTACACTTGGTTTCATTTACTCAATGTGACAATAACGTCGTATTCTTATCATGTTAATCTATTTCTTCTTTCTCTCCAAATTGACTTTGCTTGATCGAAAATAATGACAAAAGGAAAAATTAAATCAGTGTCGTAATATCTTTTTAGGTGTTATTATTCCGATGTATTTTATTTTTATTTTTACTAATTATTTACTTCGTCTTACTTCCTTTTTATATCTCAGGTGGAAAAAAAATAGTTCGTAATGTATCATTGCTTGTCTTTAACAGTTGACTAACGCCTATTCACCACTGTCTAAGCATTTACAAAAATCTGTTAATTTCTTTTTATAGAAGTAAATGATAAAATAAGAATTGTGTTTTGTTCTTTTAAAATTGACTTTCTGTCCACTGCTCAATAATATATATTTTCAATTTAATATGGCAACAAAAGATGAGACAATTTTAATCTATTATATCTTTTATTTCTCTTTGCATATGCACTATGTGGTACATTTACTTATTTGTGCATTATTGATCCATTGAATAACTGCTGCAGTTTGATGATATATCCAACTTGATGGGTTTTGTTTATCGTGCCAGTTATTAGCTATATATCTTGACACAAGTCAACATTTAGTTAACAGTATTGTTTGCGGATTATATCATAATGTAACACAACCTTTCGATCTATTTACTTTTTTTCTTTTCTATCTATTCTTCTCAATAATGAGGAATTTAACAATATCTACAGATAAATAATTTGTTTTTCTGTTTGTCGATCTCTATTGTGTACATGAAAAAAAAAGTAAAAATAAGTGCTCGTTCTATCAAAGAAAAACCTAAATACTATTCTATATAATATTTGTATTGATAAACATTATAAGGAGATAAAGTCTTGTTATCTTTTTCTTCATATGAATAAAAAAATTATTTGCTCAAATCTGGCTTTTGTATCTTTTCATTCTTCATAGCATGTACGGTTGACGTGAGTTGTAGACGCTTATCCATACATAACAGATGATTTTTCCTGTCTAACCGTCTAGAAGGTTTTAAAAGATAAAGTTAATCCGTGATCCAGGGTAAGTTGCAGACGGACGAGTTTAGCGATGCATACAATTGTCACTTACATTTTAAATGTGTATGTCCCCACGTATTCCACTCATGTCGTCGTAAAGAATAATACCATTTTTCTCTAATATAGTTATTTGAAGTGGAGCTAAAATCTGGAATTTATTAATTGCAAGTTCCATCTTCAACCTTTGAACCATTGATCTATTTGTAAGTTATATATATATTTATATATTGACATTTTAGTCAACCGTTAGTCAGTGAACACAGTCAAAATTATCAACCTATTGCTCAAATGGGAACGTTTATTACCAGTTTTCAAAATCACGACACAAGCCATTCTTACTAGCCAGTCATTTGTCGTAAAGTAGATCATTTTAATCCTCGACTTATAAACAACTAACGGATACACGATATTTATGCACAACGATCTCTGGTTATGTATGACGAAAATGTGATGAGACTATGATTTATGGAGCTGTTTCAGAAGATATCAGTCAGTCAGTCAGATGCAACGTAGAACTTCGTACGTAAGTACATCAGTTCATGTTGCCATACCACATCAGCACAGAGATATAATTGTCAATTCAAATCCAATAATAGAAGAGGTAGTAAAGGTATTAGAAGTAATCGGAGAGGTTAGGATTAGAAGCTATTATTCAAGAAGTATGATTCAGTGAGAAAAGTTTAAAAAGTCAAAACTAGAGGTGTTGAAGAATCCAGAAGATTAGGATTTGAGAGAACACAAAGTTTAGATGATATCAGTTTGTCGCTAACTTCTAATTCCTTGTCCTAATCCCTCATACTAATTAAAAGCCTTATTTCGACCGTACTAAGTGGTTAACTCTTTTCAAAGACACTTTAGCGTTGCTCAAATGTCGTCCATTATTTTTAGTACTGCCATGAAGTTTCATTATTTTTAGTATAAAATCTGGGTTGGCAGGTGCAAATGCTTTACTTTCGAATCATGTGCTTTTTACTATAAAATGCTAGAAAAAACTATCTTTTCAACCAGAAGTGATTTGATCTGTCAAAACCACATTGAAAAGCTGTTGCTCAAGATAGTATATATTCTGGAATCGACTTCAGCTTACATCTCGGACCAAGCTTGTCAGAACTCCGTTTTCTGAATGGCGTCAAAATAGCTTAGGAATACCCCATTTATCCAAACATAATTTTGTTGATGTTTAGTACAATGTCATTGTAAAAACGGCTCGTGTACATGAACTGATAATAAAGGTCACCTATCTTTTACTAATCTCAAATCAAGCTAAATAAGACAGAATATTTTACAGACGAAAGGTTTCATTGCAAATTCTATTTTGTTCATTCGTGGAAATTCGACAGTTTTACTGAAACTGGAGTCCACAAAATATTCGAGAGCACTATTATTTAATTATAAGATAATGCCTTTCTAAAATAAAGTACATCCATTTCAAAGGACTGTACTCCATCACCAATGAAAAGAAAACAATTTCCGAAAATAAACAATCTTTAAGCATAATCTACCTTATCTGTTGTTTGGTGTAACTTTTCATTTACTAGATTTAGGAAAATACACTTTTTGGAAATGAGCTTCTACACATAGACAAATGCTATTTTAAGGTTGATTCAAAGTTTAAATCACAATTTAACCCATAGTTTATACTGCCCACATAAAAATTGTATGGTATAGTCTGCGTTTTACAATTCTAGCAGTTATTTTCACAACGAATTTCAGGTTTCTACCAGGATTCGGAAGTCAGCCTAATTGATACATATGATAAGCTAATTTAACGTTCTAGATACTGAATAATTAAGTTTGCGAAGTGTAACTTTAACTGATTCGTCATATTTTCATTTTTTAATGTTGCTATATCGTCTTACTGAGCAGTATATAACATGTCATCTTTTGTGTATCCATCCAACTAAATACTTGATTTTAGCAGAGAAAAGATCATTAACCGAAGTCGACTACGTAATTCAGTATGGGTTAGACTATTTTGAACTTCAGTCCAGATTTTTTTGCCTGTTTCAGTGGTCAGAATACCTAAAGATTCAAGATTTCTTACCAATGTATTAAGGATTCTTTCTGACTAGTTTCTTTGTAACAAATTTGGCTCATAAATTGTCTCTGAATTCCTGTTTCGATTACTGACAAAACGATAGTCTTCAATTATTGAATTAACAGTTTACCAATTTATCTAAATGTAAATAATGTCACTGGAAGCTTTTCAATTTGTCTACATTGGTTTAATATAAAATGATGAAACTACATTGTGAAACTAATTAGTAATTCTATACAAAATCTCTTATAGAAGTTTTCCATCATTAAAAATAGTAACTTAATAGAACATTATCTTATTGTTCTCGTTTGCACTAACCCTCATTCACAATCTCTCAGAACTGATTACAATCGAACCGAATGATTATACGGCTTTAATTCTGTTGCCTCAAGCAAACTTTACTCGCACACATAGTTTCCTTTATTATCTTGAAATAGAAACAAAGATTATTAAAAATGAGTACCAAACGAAATAAAATGAATTCAAACTATTCTGTACCAATCTTTATTTTAAACCTTGTTCGTTGATAGAATTTTACAAAGGTAAAAACATTTGTCTAAATAGAGCTAATGAAATTCAAACGAAGACTGATAAAAAAGATATTTTTTCACAAATAACAGATTCGATAACAATGGTAGCCACTAAATAGTTTAAATTTCATTGTTGTACTACTAGTTCCACTATTTTATCTGGAATTATTCGTTCTTTTGGAAGAATTATGTCAATCAAGTCATTTTGTAGTGAACAACCAATTTTAGACGTTAAAACTAGCTTCGAGAGAAAATGTCCGGAGCTCCAGCAAGAGCCGCAATCAGTTGAATCCAACTGTGCTAGGTGTGAGGAAGGTATCCACCAAAGATAATAGGAGATAGTTGCGAGAGATCGTCTATTGACTTAAGTTAGACCTTTACACCACTGAATGCCATCTGTAATTAAGAGCCTAAGCGTTTTCCTTTGAGATTAGAAGTCCTGAGTCCGATTCCCTCGTAGTCTCAATCACATAATCTCAATTTGGGTACCATAAAAAGCCAAAGAGCAATAAGTCAGTTATTTTATCCTAAGTTCCAGCTTCTCCACAGTACACACGAACAATCATCACGTGGGTCATTGAATGATCATCGCATATCATGAATTGTTTGTAGATGAAATCTTAGCCACTGCATTTTGATAAGAGTTCGTCACGTGTCATAAATATCTTGTAAACAACCCCTGATAGGTTCGTTATTGCGTATTGCTATGGTGTTCTGAGCTAAGAGGAAACAGCGGTTTTCTGACCTTGGTTTTGAGTGATTCATGGTCTATAATCAGTTCGTAATAGAAACTGTTTCCAAGCATAGACTCAGAGTTGAGTAAAATACCTTCACGTTCATCTTCATTAATATATCGTTATCGTGATATTTTTAAAATTCACAAATTATTTTTTCCAATATACGATGTATAATATCCCTGAGACAATGTTAACAAGTGAGCTTCATTCCACCAAAATAAATGAATAACAAGTTAAAATTTGACCTGCTTGTACAGGCAACTAGTTGTTTCGATTCTGGTTTCGGCGAAAACCAGATGAGAATAAAGCTGTTTTAAATTAGTCACTCAGTTATCGTTACCTTAATATATTCTGATAGGCAAATGACACAAATGTTTTTCAGTTATTTGGAATTTTTACTTGATTCAGTTCCGGAAAGATCTACAGTTCATTTTTGTTATTTATGCGCTTTTTCATAATAGATTTCAAATTTAGTGTCAAAATCAACGAAGTTACAACAGAGTATTTCATGGACGATTTTCAAACCAGAATGAAATTTTATTTAATTCGCATCTACGGAACCTCAGAATACGGACATACTACTTAACGTTTTCTCCATAATTTTCCCTTAATATAGTGTATTCAATGTTCAAATTGCTAATACCTCTAAATTTATAATCGTGGGATCTTGCCAAAGTACACAAATCGCACTACTATGCATATTTATGTGGGAAAGTCGAGTAGATTGATAGTAATCGAATTTGACGCAGGAAATTATTCTAAATTATTAGAATATGAGTAACCTTTAAGAAAAATAATTTTAATGGTTACTAATGAAGTCACTTGATTAAATTTCTGGGAATAGATTATGCTTTTAATACTAAGTTACATGCTCTGTATTTGCGTTCGATTAATTTTACTTGATGAAAGACATTGGTCAAATTAAAAGCCGAAAATCTCTTTCACTGAAGCCATGGTGTGTAGAATTTTATTATTGTATATGGCGTTGTAGCGACTACGAAAAAACTTTTAATTAGATTTCTCCATGATTCTATGTCGTTCATAATTTTTTCCTACCACGGACAAAATCAATTTTTTTTACCTTGGACTGTCTTAGGAAGGGGAGATCGTATTAACTAATCCGCTAAAACGAATTTAGTCACATGTTAAGGCCTAACAGGCTTAAAAGTATGTCTAGAGCCTCAAGGTCATTAGTATCATATGAAATAAATCAATAGACGCGGAATTTTATCAAAGTTGTTTATCTGGTAAATTAGAGGAAGTGACGTAGTTGGTGTGGCTACAACGACCTTGATAGAAATTCATGAATATTTTACTGAATAATAAATAATAAAGGGAGCATATTGGGCCGGTTAATCTCAATAAATGATAACTTCTAATCATTTTGGAATAATGATACAGTCAGAGTTTAATGGCATACCGATACAAGCTTTTTAATGGTAAAATGTGATTGAAGTAAGCATCCAGTTAGTCAGAATGGACATAAGCTCTAATACAAATATTAAATATCATCCTAACGCCAGTAAAATGAATGGGCAAGATGAATAGCAACACAGTC